AGATACCGTATTTCCTCTAGTAGACGCCCGGGCTTCTAATTATTTCGGACAAGCCTTTGACCCGGCGTCAATTAGAGGCCCGGCGTCTATTGGAGGCCCGGCTTCTATTAATACCCCCATTTCACTATGACCACGAATGTCCCGAATCATTATGTATATTAGGTCCCAAAAAGGGATCATTAATTGTATCAATTGATCGACCCGGCGTCTATTAGAGGCCCGGCTTCTATTTTTTGCACTAATCAATTGACCCGGCGTCTAATAGAGGCCCGGCTTCTATTTTTTGCACTAATCAATTGACCCGGCGTCTATTAGAGGCCCGGCGTCTAATAGAGGAAATACGGTACACCTCCTGTGTTCTAAAATTTGAGGTCGACTCACTGCAGATTCGATACCTTTTATTTTAATTTGGAGTTGACGGTTTAGTTGCCCAAAACATCCGATTTGACGTTCTGATGAATTATCGATCTGCAGCCATGTTTTAATGGATCGATATGTAGGTTATCAAGCTGTCATGCATGAAGAATCTATGTTTACAACTAGGGCATTCTTACAATAACTTAAAATACCACACTGTAACAGACGCTTGTTCAAATAGCGGATAAATAGTCCAAAGTGCGAATTTCAATATGGCCGACTTTCAACAAACTTTCTTAGGCTATTTATCTGACCAATCATAGGGGAAGTTATTGTCAGTTCCATATTCTTTTACAAAATATAACAATTGTAAAAGGGAACATTATTTAGTGATTGGTAATTTCATATGGGGAGGTGTGAGTCATGAAATATTGTTACATATATTTGTGGGAGCATGACTTGTTTTTACATATATTTCGTCAGTTAATAGGCTTTTGGACGTCATGCGTTTTCGGACGGCCATGCAACGTTAGAAATTGACACCAGTCCTATAGTCCTTGTCAAACAGCCCAATAGTTAAGGTATCCTAAGGACTAGTAGAAATTTGACCTTTTTAAGGGTTTCGTTATATGTTATGATTGTAATTATAAGGACTAGTGGGCTAAAATTGTTATCGCTGCCATGTTTATCGCGATTATCCGCGCTATTACGGGGGTTGTAGCATCACAAAGAAATTGTTAATACTCAGATGATGGCTTGTTTTTAAGAGAAAGTTGTCATTTATAACTGAATGAGATATTTAAAAGTTGTTCATGTGATCAGAGAGAAAACTAAGAATGTTTCTTAAGCGTCCGAAAACCCACAACACGGGGATAATCGAGGGTCGGCAAAAAGATCGTGCAGGTTAAAGACCAACCCCAATCAAACAGCACCTCCTACCCCCAACTAAATGTAATGACCAGTCCCTAAATAATATGTTGTAAACTTTATCCCAGTAGTTATATACACAATAAAGTCAGAAGTTTTGTGTGGCCGAGTCCGTCCGTCCGTCCGTCCGCACCACATGATAGAGCGTTACGTAACGACCGACGCAGAGTGTAAGGCCTCCATCCACAAGGTCGCCATTACTGAGACGATCCCGTGTTGTGACGGAAGCAGTACACTTTGTCCCAGGGGGCGTCGCAAGGTTGTGCAGTAGATCGGTACGTGTTCAGGCTGTTGCATATATTATTAGATGCACATTGAGTTCGTGTTATCTTTTCTGTGTGTAACTCAGAAGACTATACAGGATGGATAGATATGTCTTGTATAGACGTCCTGGCGTAAACAGGGCGTAATGCAGAGCCTGACCCACGTCACCTAGCAAATGTGTGAACTCTTGGAGGCGGTAATGGCGGGATGTGTTACGGGTGAGTGGTTGGGCTGTGGTCCCCAAATAATGCTCCACACACAGCCTAGTCTGATCCAGAGGGGGAGTCCACAGCCCCCCCCCCCCCCCCCCCCCTACCCTACCCTCGCTGATATCAGATATGCAGTTAGGAATAGGCCGGCCCTACACTAGTCATACAAGATGTTGCATAGGCATCTACAAGCTCCGTACTGTAAATACAGTATATCAGGGAAATGCCGTACTCTCTTTTATACAAATCTAAACCTGGATGAGAATATATTATTCTAAAATCACGAAGGGGACGTTTTTACTCCCATTTACACTGTTTCCATTTTAGGCACTGCGCCTGAGTCTGCAAACTCGAACTCTTCGTACTTACAACAAGTCTCAGACAAACATATTGTACATAAAAAAACAGTTCTTAAATTATAGAATATTGCAGTAATCTTAGACTTGCCAAACATTATAGACTTGTATGGCTGTATTGGATATATTTGTTTCAGGGTCTGTATGACAGACTAAGCTTGGCTCATAACTTGTCTAAAAATACACTCGAAAATGTCACACGAAGGCTAGCGACGAGTAGATGATGGATAGTAAGGGACTGGAAATTTAATACTAGGGGCCTGGGGGAATTGGTCTGAGGACCCCCCCCCCCCCTATTAAATATTACCAGTCAATAAATGATGTTCATATTTATGGTATATTTATTTGAACAATTAGATCTGTGTCTTTTTTTTACCCCCACCCCCCCTCAATAGTTGATCCCCTCCTCTATTGCTGTTTCAAATTTCGTTATCTTTTAGAGTTATGCCCCAATCGGTACACGTGCGTATGTAATAGTCCATCCGATGCAAATTGTCCTGAATTGTGTTTATTAATGGTATGTTGGCGAGTGTCTGTGTCATGTGGTGTGTATATCTGGCAATCAATACAACAGCTTGCATATCGGGCTTTGTTTCAACACTTCTGTACAAAAGGTAAGAAAGTATAAGGCTTCCTGAATATCACTGCGAGTATGAACGCCGAGATGTACGTCTGAACTGCCCGTTGCTTTGTGGAGCTAAACATTGTAATCCAGAGGTAAGTTATAACAGCCCTGGCCAAGGATAGATACTCTATTGACTTGAATACCTCGCTCGCGTGCAGGTTTGCTGAAAGTACGTATGTAACGAGGTCACGACATGGTAATAGGAGATGCACGGCTATAGGGCGTCTACCCATTACGACTACTGTTCCAATACATTATCATTGTTCAGTGACTGCTAATTACTAAATATAGCCCCATCATCACTGTTTCTAGGAGTACCAGGATCTTGATTCCTTGGAAGAGGCGACAATAGGTCTAAAGGCAACGACTTGGCTTTAAGCCAAACTATAGCGCTGCATTGTTCTTCATACATAAACTGTGAACTGATGATAAACAGCAGTATGTATTCATATTAATACCCTACTTCCCCGTGTATATGCTGGCTGCTGGGTGTGACGGCAACGCAGGAAACATGAGGCACATAAATTAATTACTAGTACTTTTTTCGGAATCCCATCATCGTTTTCCTCAAATGTTTGATCCGAAGAACAAATATTCTTTTTTAAGGTGCCTCGTGCAGAGCTCCAGTTTTTACTCTAGGATTTCTATTTTAATTTGGTTATTACATTTTTCAACGGGTAACCAATATTTTTTTTCATTCATCTATTCATAACTCTATTGGGTTACCCCCCAAAGAGTGAACATTTTAAGATTTAAAAACAAATGAAATAATGTTTTAGATGTATATAACCAAGATAACTGTTCTAAATATATAGGCTTGACTCGGAAAGTAAATTAGCTCCTGTGTACGCATGCTGAAAAATCTTCATTGGGTGTTTACGCCTGCTGTTTTTATACATTTGAGTTTTTCATGTGCCCAAGTTAATTGAAAGTAAGTGGATTTTGAATATTGTATTCATTCATTCATTCATTCATTCATTCATTCATTCATCCATCCATCCATCCATCCATCCATCCATTTATTTATTTATTTATTTATTTATTTTTTTATTTTTATTTATTTATTATCTATCTATCTATCCATCTATCTATTATATATTTATTATATATTTGTTTATTTATTTTATTTATTTATTTATTTATTTTTTATTTTATTTATTTATTTTTTAAATTTTTTAATATTTTTTTTTGGGGGGGATTTTACGCTGCTTATCTGCAGCTCTGCTCGTGAAAATTACCAATCTCATTAAAATCAGATCTTAGTTCTCGCCATCGCTAAAGAAAGATCTGAGGACGTCCCATTAAGAGTCACGTCAGAACGACCTTTCATCCAACCAATCAGAGCGTCGCTTACCAGATCATGAAAGTGACAGTCGGAATGTGTTTTCTAATCACGCAACCACGAAATATTTAACACGGGGTTTTCCGAACGACAGTTACGGGTTTTATGATTATATCCATACAATCTAGGCCATCTATAAGAAATTCAAGAATGTTCTTCTTTTCAGTTTATTTTTTTTTGATCGAGAATACGTCAAAATATGTTTCGAAGCGTAGTCGCCAGTTTGAAATTAGTGTCGTAAGGCTCGAGAAAGCTGCCTTCTGATTAGCTAATGTCGATTTCTTATCAGTCATTTCATTGGTCGGTCAAAATTCGCGAAAGGTCGTTCTGACGTGACCCGTAATGGGATGTCCTCAGATCTTTGTTTAGCGGTAGCGAAAACTAAGATCTGATTTTAATAAGATTGGTAATTTTCACGAGCAGAGCTGCAGATAAGCAACGTATCTGCGTAAAATACAACCCCCCCCCCCCCCCCCCCCCCCCCCCCCAAAAAAAAAATAAAATAAATAAAAAATAATAATAATAATAAAATAAATTAATAAATAATAATAATAAAAAAAAAAATTTTAAATACTTTAAAAAAAAAATCAATCAATCAATCAATCAATCAATCAATCAATCAATCAATCAATAAATGAAATAAAACAAAATATTCAAAATCCACATACTTTCAATTAACTTGGGCACAGAAACGCATGCATTAAATAAAAAACTCAAATGTATAAAAACAGCACGCGTAAATACCCAATGAAGCTTTGAAAATTACAAGTACAGGAGCCGAGTCTCACAGTTTCGCATGCAACTATGGCAACAGGTTGAAGTAAATATTATGCAGTTTCTTTGCATGAGTAGTATTGATGGTTGGAGCCTCTCTGCTCTGTTTGTTCCATATCGTACATTTAAGTAATGACTCGTTCCAGCAATGTCGGGGTCTGGATCCTACAAGGTAGAGACGGTGATCAAGCATGCCTGCACCACCATAGGCGAGGGCCCTCACTGGGACGACGCTTCGCAGAGTCTCTACTACGTGGACATCACCAACGGTGATGTGCACCGCTGGGACTCCAACACCGGCGTCGACAGTAAGATCAATATGGGTGAGTTATGTGTTGGGAATGTGCATTTATAATGCGCCAGATTCCATTCACCAAGTGGATGATCATAGCGCTCGGTCAATGGATCAATGCGCACTCAATTTTCATTCTCATCTCCCTGGGGAGAATACAACCCAAGCTGCCTGTGAGGCGCTAGAAGGTTAACAGCCACCATCTCATCTCATCCTACCGGGTACCCACTCACTGCTGGGTGAACAGAGGCACATTTCGAACAAAGTCACTTACCTAAGGAGACAGTGTGGGGCAGGACCGAAGCCCTATAGAAACTCTCAGGAGTCAAGCTGCTTAACGTGGTCACCCATCCAACTACTCTCCGAGACCGACGTTGCTTAACTTCACCTGCTTTGTGATCTGTGCGCTGTCCACAGGACCACGTGCCATTCACGTTGGTTTCAGTGAGACATAATGTTTCTGACCCGTGAAGAATAGGTCTTCAGCAACCCATGCTTGCCCTGAAAGGCAACTATGCTTGTCATAAGATTCAATCGCTTAGATCGATGCTCATGATATCAAGCACTGGATTGTTTGGTCAAGACTCATTTATTTAAGACCCCCGTCAATTAGCTGGAATATTGTTGAATGCGGCGTTTAACAACAACCAACATAACGTTTCTTCATTATAAATGTGTGCGATTGTCTTCCACTAGGTCCGTTCGCTACTCTGGTGATCCCAAGGAAGAAGGGGGGCGTGGTCGTGGGACTTGGCCGGAAGCTGGTGTCGGTGGACTGGGACACGCAGGCTTTGGAGACGTTGGTGGAGGTGGATCAGGGCACAAGCAACAGGTTCAACGACGGAAAGTGTGACCCCAGAGGAAGACTGTTTGCAGGTGAGCATGCCAGTTAGGGCATCAATGGCGGAAATGACCTTTGTCACCAACGTTGATCTGTATTAAGGGGGTAGCTCTGATCGAAGACGAAGAACACTAGTACAAACTCAGACACAGAATACTGTGTGCATATGCATTGTGAAGTGGACGTCACACGAGGGGGCAATGGCGATGCCACCTGGACAAGACACACTTTGAGTGAGTGAGTATGGTTTTACGTCGCTTTTAGCAATGTTCCTGCAATATCACGGCGGGGGACACCAGACATGGGCTTCACACATTGTACACATGTGGGGAATCGACCCCGGGTCTTCGGCGTGACGAGCGATCGCTTTAACCACTAGGCTACCCCACCACTCCCTCACAACTAGGTGGGGGTATGGTTCTAAGGCGCCGCGATTCGCTGTGCAGAATTGCGTCCCTTGGGCACGCCAGAAACCTATGATTGTTGGTTCGAATCCCCGTTCGCCTCGATTATGTTTCTAGGGTTGTCAGCACCATACACCGTGCTCGTGGGTTTCACCTAAGTGTTTAACGTCTGAGACCTGCATCACTTCGGGCTTTCCTCCCACATCAAGCTGACACGCCGCGATATAACTGAAATACTGTTAAAAGCGGCGTTATAGCGCAACTCACTCACTCACTCACACACAACTAGGAGGGGAACTGATTAAAGCTATTCATAATATAATTGTTGTGTTGGACAGACAGTGCCACAATTGATGGCTGTTACACACATAGGTTCCAGCATGTGAACAAGTCTAGACACCTGACCCACATGTAACTCAACTCTACAAAATGTGTGATGTTCTGAAATTATGATTCATTACACACATCATCAAAACGTTAAAGCTTACCCTTGGCCAAGTTGGACATAGAAATATATTACTGCCTCTCACTCTCTGGTATAGAAGCCGACCCACTAATCAGTCGCAGATATGCTCATTAATATTTGTCAATAAAATGTCTACATTAACCAACAGTGAAGTCGTGCATTTCATAACGAATTAGGAGTTGTGTTACACGTATAGAAACTACAACTGCATGGTAACTAGTTCGTATGGATATAAATAGTAACATGATGTGAACTAATGATTTGATGCACTTCGCGATGAAGACCCGTTTTATCAGAATAAAGATATCGATTATCGATCAGATCGTTTTGACTGGGCGCCGCCATTTTGTTTGAAGCAAGCGCAAGTGATACGAGAGGTGGCAACTGATTGGTCCATAGGAGAGGCATAGAAGGGACATAACTCGCAATAGCCACAACGAATAGCCCAGGAATTCCATCCCAGTTCGGCAAGGTTGGAAACTGGACTTTAATAGTCAGTTAACGCTCTTGCCTCGGGAAGATGATGTCCACTGGCTCTGTTACCTATTTATCGTTTCTGTGAAATGAGGGTTTGATTAATAATGCTTCGTTATGAGAAAGTTAATGTGAAATGGTGTGGTGGTTTGGATGGCAGTATGTTTCTTGAAGTATATTTCAGCTGATACAAATGATGCTCTTCTTTATCTTCGCAACCCATTTAAAAAATGGCCGTGATGGCTTCAGACATGTCAAGGTATGATATTGGGCAGATGGCACTAACGATTTTAGTATTATTTTAACGTATTTACGATGCATATGTGATCAGACCCATGAAAATCCGGGGTAGAATAAGTCTTCAGCAACCCATGCTTGCCGTAAAAGGCGATTATGCTTGTCGCAAGAGGCGACTAACGGGATCGGGTGGTCAGGCTCGCTGCCTTGGTTGAAGCATGTCATCGATCCCAATTGCGTGGATCGATACTCATGTTGTCAATCACTGGATTGTCTGGTCTAGACTCGATTATTTACAGACCACCATCATATAGCTGGAATACTGCGGCGTTAAACAACAAACAAACAAGCATATGTGATCATGTGATCCCTTGAAACTATTGTACCTTTCAGAAAAGACAGAATATTTCTTCTTTATTCTTTGATGCGACGTTTCAGTATATATCCGTATACCGTTGTCAAAAGAGTGACACCTTAATATGTACTGTATCTTTGTTAACTGAAGACTGTAGAGAGATACATACTTCATGTTCCCCAGGAACCATGGGCAAAGAGGTGGCGCCAGCTCAGCCAGAGATGGAGATGGGGACTTTGTATTCTCTCGACACCAACGGAGACCTCAAGACACACGCCAGCAAAATCAACATTTCCAACGGCTTGGCCTGGAGCGCCGACAGCCGCATCTTATACTACGTCGACTCCATCCCCGGCAACATTTTCGCCTTCGACTACGACATCAATACGGGAAACACATGTTAGTTTACCTCCATGTATTAAAACTATGTCATGGTTTCTACTGCTTTCTCGAAGGAACCCACGCTGTTTACTCCATATATAGTTTAAGATGATGGGTGTTATTTCCGGTAGAGTGCTTATCGACCAAATTTCGATGCTAGCACTCCCCTTATCCCGAAATACAATTAACAAAATCCGTTTTCGATTGTAGACAAACGTCTTTACACGAATTGGAATATACAGTATACTACGTTTATAACAAACACTCTTATGACGAAACTGACGATATAACAAACATTTTTTAGTCCAGGTCACTTGTTGTATATATGCTGTATATATGCATATAACGAACTACGGATATTACGAACTAAAATTTGTGGTCCCTTTGAGTTCGTTATAACCGTAGTTTACTGTATCAGAATTTCGGAGAGCAGATCTGCAGTCTTGCAATAACGTGCGTATGAATATACAATTACTGGTAAGCGTCATCCCTTGAAACCGACCGGGGTAATAATGTTATGTTAATTGGGATACGAGGGATGCAGCTTGTATTTGGTAATATTTCAGCCTACTTAATGGTAATACAAAAAATAAACTGTATATTTATTACCTGCCACTATTCCCAACTTTTGTCTGCTCCAGCCAATCAGAGGTCAGTAGTGGACTGTGGTCCTGAGCGACGATTCACATACGGGTTCCCGGACGGCATGACGATCGACACGGAGGGGAAACTCTGGCTGGCATGTTACAGCGTCGGCAAAGTGGTCCGATTCGACCCCGAGACAGGTACAAATGTTTAGCAGGGAAAACATCGTATTAGTATATTGTTGGCTTATGAATTCATATGCAGAAGAGGTGAGCTAGTCAAATTGAAGTCCTAAGACACGTGACCTTTGTCATTCCACCAATCAGAATGTTATGATGTCGATTAGTCTATTACCATAATGACATTGAGACACACTTTCACACAATTCAATCACAAGTTTTAAGACTTACGCTTGAAACGAGCTCAATGCTTTTGACTCTACTCTCAGAATAGTTTTCTCTTATCATGCTATACATCTTCCCCAGGTAGGCTGGAATTCCGGAGTTCCATTTTGACTGGACTAACGAGTCTATGCATAATCCAATCAAAATGTGTAACAAACTAGACATCCGGTTCGTAAACAAAATGGGTTTCAACGTGCATATTTCGGTCAACTAAAGGATCTGATTGGTCAATTGGGGCATAGAAGGGACATAACTCGCAATAGGCACTGGTGGCGCTACGACCGAGCCTGGAAAAACCAGCCAAGTTCGGCAAAGGTGGAAACTGGACTTTTATAGTCATGCCTTGGGAGGAGGATGCATGCCATATGGTCTCCGCGCATACCTGCAGCATTACTGATATGGCGTTTAGCAATAATCATTCTTTCATTCTGTATGAGAACATCTTTCAAACGTTATAAGCGCGTTTAAGTAAAAGCTGTACTATCACCTATATTTGACTAATGATATTTTTTAAAATATCGTTTTTCTCCTTTTTTGTTTTCTATTTTTGTTGGGGGGGGGGGGGGGGGGGGCATCGATGTCATATATTTCACATTAGGTACCACTTCTACACTAGACTCTACAGGAGCACGTGGCGGGCCTCACGGGACGTAGTATGTGCATTACTTGGGCAGAGCTTCTCATAATCGCTCTATGATTACATGGTCCGTTTTCTGATGCTTGTTAATAATTTCTACATGTTATTAAATGTGCAGATGTTTTCAAGAATACTGCATTAATGATCGCTGCTCGTATTGCCAGGCAAGGAGCTGCTGACGATCGGGTTCCCGGGGGCCACCAGGACCACGTCCTGCTGCTGGGGAGGCAAGAACCTGGACGAACTGTACGTCACCTGCGGGAAGGAGGGAGTCTCGGACCGACAGTTCCAGACCTGCGACAACCTGGCGGGGTCAGTGTTCAGGGTGACAGGTCTCGGCTTCAAGGGAACGCCAGCAAACGTGTTCGAGGGATGAGACACCGCAGCAACTGTGTATTTTATATGAAGACTGACTGTTTGCCTGCGTTATAATTGAACCCTCGAGTTGGCTTTGGAACCTACTTGTGTATGAAGGAATGTGTATCCTGTATATTTATATATATGTGTGTGTGTCTGGGGGGAAGTTGTGGCAGGTTTGGTCGTTGTGGGCCACGATACCATTGAGTATTTGTCGTAAGGTTTTATTCTTGCCATTTCTTATACACAAGAAAGCCTTGAGAAGACGGTGCCTTCTAGTTCACATTTGGGTACTTTATACATTTGATGCTCATATTTAACAGTTACATGTGCTGGTGGTCAGGGATGTTGTTTTGATATCACGCTTATTGTGGAATAAATACAGAACGTTGTACGGGTTGTTATGTGTAATTCTTCATATATACTGACGGAGAATAATAACCGACCCCATGAAATAGATGGGTATGGTTTTACACCGCTTTTAGCAATATTCCAGCAATATCACGGCGGGGGCACCAGAAATGAGCTTCACACATTGTGCCCATGTGGGGAATCGAACCCGGGCCTTCAGCGTGACGTTAACCACACCGCCTCATTCCCATGAAATGAATGGCGTGGATAAATGGGGTTTACGCCGCTTTCAGTATTGTTACACTTACATAGTGACGTGCATGTGTGGCTGCTTGTTCTAGTCCGGACTCATGCCGGTTTTATAGTACCACCCCACTGAGGTACCATGCCGCAGTTTAACAGGAAGACCCCACCCAGATCTCGTACATTCCGTGCCGACCAGCAGGAGGGTTACAAGACGTGCAATCTTTCAACGTCTTTTTGGTATGACGCAGGCGGGGATCGAAACACTAACCTTCCTCTTTTCGGGGAGACATTCTACCACCGTAAAGATCCACCGATAGAATAGGTCTTCAACAACCCATCATGCTTGCTGTAAGAGACAACTAACGGGATCGGGTGATTAGGCTCGCTGACTTGGTTGGTGCATGTCATTGTGCCCCAATTGCGTGGATCGTTGCTCATGATGTCAATCACTGGATTGCCCGGTGCAGACTCGATTATTTTCAGACCGCCGTCATATACCTGGAATATTGCGGAGTGCGGCGTAAACAACAAACAAACTATACCACGAAGGCTGAATTAACCGAATTCAATGGTCATGACATGAATGTGGGTGTCAAAGCAGAGCAAGTGTTGATGACGATTGGACCCTGTGGACCCGGAACACACCTTATTTGGTCTGGTCCATTCCTGACATTGAGGTCATGCTACACTGGTATTAGTTGTGGTAATTTCATAACCCAAACGAATTCGTATATCTAGAAATTTCATACCCTTGGAAAATTCGTAACCTTAAAAAAAGAAACTTCGTAACCCTTTTTCGTATATCTAACTATACGTTTACAAGAAAATATGAGTGTTGTGTTACACAGGTTTCCAAACGTTACGTTTTCGAACGGCCATGTTTTTCGGAATTTCTCTGGCGATAATGAGTTGTGTGACGTCACAGTGGAGCAGTCCATTCATCGCGGAGGGATAGGGAACAAATCAGACGCTGATGAGATGTTATAAAGCAAACTTAACACCACGCAATCATTGCACATTCATAAAGTCAACCATTCATTCTCTATAACATTCACGAACGCATACACACAACTATCATCATACAACATATACAACCAACACATCAGTAAAAAAAAAAAAACCAGTATCCCAATTGTGTCGATCGATGCATCCATCGTCAATCACTGCATAGTCTGGTCCAGACAGCCCTCACATAGCTGGAATACATCGTAGGACGTCAGTCTAGAATGGATCAGACATGTACGGTCCGTTCATCCGAGATGATGGCTCATGTCAGGCCTCTCTACGTCATCATTCCTCCTGATGTGTCCTCCACTGACCAGTTGACCACTGTCCAGGCACTGTTCTTCAGCAATGTGTTCTTCACGGCGTCCGTCACTGCTTGTGTCCTGAGCTTGAGGAAGGCAGGCTGCATGTGTATATTGCTGTAATATTGCTGAGTGCGGCGTTAAACAACAAACACACCCTCAACATATAATAACATGACGTCATTAACCATACCTCGAAATAATCCTGGTTTGTCGACTTGTCATCAAAATTAAGACCCGCGGGGCTTACTGCTTGTTCCCAGCTGACAGATAGGCGTTGATTCTAAAAAGCTTGAGAAAAGGAGGGCCGACGATCCGGAACGTGGAATCCACGTACCGTCTTGGCGTCAAGTTCTGTCTGTTTTGACGTCGAGACGAATGCTGGACTGTGAAGGTAGTGTTATGAAGAATTGTTTGTCATAAGAAAACCAATTACCTTTGATCCAAAATACACCTTGTCTGAAGATATACATTTGGATATACAAGCTTATACCACACAATAACCAGGGGTTCTCCCTAACAACTTCCCAAGTCGTCTGCTGAATGTTGGATGATAAAACCTGGTGGCGTCACCCTGTTGAACACTGCAAAGAAATACAGTAAAGATCCTCGTTAAACCGCAGCAGTAGTGGTGCCTGTATTGCACGTGTGTTTTAGATTTTGCAATAGACTGTCCTGATGGTCACACAGTATTTGAGCTGATGGTCACCCAGTATTTGAGCTGACCACAAGGATATGTTGCCCACAAATAACCATACTGTTCGAGTTTTACATTTTGGGGGGACTGAAAGGATGCAATTGTAAATCTGTAAACGCCTCCCTAATTACATTATTTCACCAACACAAGCCATGACTTACGAACATGTCTTTCATATATATCACTGCTTCAGAAACATTGCAAATATTAGAAGATATCTTGGAATTGCATTGAACGAACTTATTATTCCACAAAACGTCCTTTTATACAACATAGAGTTACATATATGGTAAGGTAATATAAGTGATTAATGCGTGTCACTTCAACACAAGTCAAAGCGCTCTTTGTTATAATAAAATAATGAAAAGAACAGGTTTTAAAGTAGTAAAGTCATTTTCCGCATAGTAATGAACATTGTAAACACTAAGATCACCTAAATCGGTTAATTCTTTGAATTTAGGTCAATCAGATAATGATTGTGACATGTGGTTTAAATAATCCATTTTGGATTTTAGTGTGGGTGACGTTCGTTTTCTCTCATATACACAAACGCAAAAGTGGTAAAATCGTAAATATTTTTACAGAGTTGACGACATTCAAATTTACAAAATTAATACCAAAAAATGAATTGGTCATCTGCATGAATCCGGATTGAGATACTGCAGAAATTTGGTGGAAATTTGGTGAGAGCCTGACACCGACACACACAACATGAGATCGTTTGTAGGGCTATAAAAACGTTGGCTTTTCATTTGCACCACGGCAACCTCAAGAACTACGGCAATGCCAGGATTGCGTAGGATATCAGCCCAGGCAGTGATGAACCGGTTACGTGCTGAAGGTATTCTCGCTAGACGACCAGTTCGAGATGTCATTTTGACTAACCTGCACCATCGGCTGCGGCGTCAATGGTGTCAGTGTCACAGTGTACGGCTACAACTGCGATGGAGACAAGTTTGGTTTAATGACGAGTCTCTTAATGTGCTTTGTCGTCGCGGGACCGTTATACACCCAAATGCATAAAAGAAGTGGACAGATTTGGAGGTGGCAGTGTGGTAATGTGGGCAGCCATCTCCTACACTGGTAGAACAGACTTGGTGCAACTTCTGGGAAATTTAACAACGTTCAACATCAACATCAACGCTACACAGATGAGATTACTCGGGAACACGTCCTTCCCATTATACAAGAGAACGTCATTTTCCAACAAGACAACGCCGAACCTCACACGGCAAGACTGACAACAGCTTTTTTTCAGGAATCACAACATCTAGGTCCTACCATGGCGCTCCAGTTATCCAGATTTAAGCCCAATTGAACATTTATGGGATGGACTGGATCAACGACTGCGAGCACGTCAGCGCCAACCACAGAACCTCCGACAGTTGGCGCAAGCAGTGCAGGCAGAGTGGGTGAACATTCCCCAGGTCACAATTCGGGATCTGATTGCTTTCATGGGATGACGATGCAAGATATTGAGAACAGATCACCTTCACCTTGAAAATCTACTGTTCCATGTGTGCCATACGGAACTTGGGTCAATGACAATGATGTTTGCCAATTTTGAACAATCGATTACCATCTGTTGATTTATTTATGAGATATAAAAAATATACATAAGATCAATTTTCCGTTGTTTTTTTAAGAGTATACATACCAATAGGAGTGAGTGAGGGAGTATAGTTTTACGCCACTTTTAGCGATATTCCAGCAATATCGCGGCGGGGGACACCAGAAATGGGCTTGACACATTGTACCCATGTCGGGAATCGAACCCCGGTCTTTGGCGTGACGAGCGAACGCTTTTACCCCTAGGCTACCTGACCGCCCCCATACCAATAGGAATATTGATGTAAAGGTTCATGCTTGTATCCTCATTTGATCAATTAACTTATATATAAAAACAATATTTAAGATTGAAATTAGGGTGGGTAGGGGAAGGCCACAAAACATTACTCCCAGACAGGATCGATACCACTTCAATGAGGAACAGATTCATTTTTTCACCAAACTGAGGAACAACTTCACAACTGCCACAGGAATCGGATTTTCGACGTCAACGTTAGGAAACAGGTTGAAAACTGCGAGTCTGAAATCAAGACGCCCTTTCAGTGGAATGCATCTGACTGTGGCACACAACAGGGGCGTTCTAGATACACAATGTTTTCTCCTGAATTGATATAGGACAGATCGGATCTATGCTCTGCAAGGGAAGAGGACCGGTCAACGTTTTGTGGACCAAATTTGAGTTCTAAGATGACAACGCACGTCCTCACAGAGCTTGTGTTGCACTCAAGTGTCTGGGGCAGCGAAGTGTCACAACATTGCCCTGGCCAGCCAAATCTCCAGCCATGTCACCGATTGAACACCTTTGCTAAAGGGACACTGACCTGATATTGACGTTACTATGAAGATTTCTTCACATAAATTTGCCGATTCACTCAAATAGTGTTCCTAGTATATTTTGCACTTTATCTGCCCCAGTACGAGACTAATCTGACAGTCTTGAGTAAAAAAAATCATAGCATATAGATACTAATTTACATAATTGACAACACAAATAATGTAGCTGGTAAAGATTGTTTATTGTCTGATCATGCTTATGTACATCAATATCAACTATACGTTACAACAAGCTCAAGGTGACCACCAGGTACCATGAAGGAGACATAGTAAAGCCAGGTAAGACACATGCTAAGATCTGGACCATACCTTCAGCAGTCAGGAGGACCTCTTCTGATGCCGCTTTTAGGCAAAACATATATTTCAGTGACTTTGCCAAAATATGCCCCAAAAGCAGGGTTATGTATTTGGAATTGAAATATCACATTTCAAGGTCATCCTGACTGTTGAAAAAGCTTCATGTGAAACAAACTGTGCTTATTTTAACAAAATCAGATTCACCCTTCTGTTATCCAAAACAGACCCCTCCAGTCGAGTCTGTGGATCATCAGTGATTGGACCCTTGTCAATAGCACATGCTCTGTTCGTATTACTCATAATCACCAGATTCTTGGACAGCTTGACTTTGCACTGACATATGACAAAAAATTACAGGATGAAACAAAAAATGACAATTAGCATGAATATTTACAAGATTTATGACTTGGAACCGATCATGTTGTTAAATCACCAAATGGTGTTATCCATTTTGAATAAGTATCTCAAAATAATGTTCATATTAAGATAATTGTTGCACATCATGAGACATGACTGCAACGGTCGTCCATCTTGTGTGAGGCTGAGGGCAGGATGTGTTTATGACCTCTTGGTGCTTGGCTTTAGTTCGTCAAAGCAGGACCGGAGGAAGATATGTGGCTTCATCTTCTGCGGATCGTACCCTTCATGACCCTGAAAATGAGAATATAAATGAACACCAGTCCATGTCATCAGGATACAATAGTGATTGAGTTGGGTTAAACGCCGCTTTTAACAGTATTCAGTTACATCACGCGTGTCAGCTTAATGTGGGAGGAAAGCCTGACGTGATGCAGGTGTTAGACGTTTACCACTTCAGTGAAACCCATGCATGCACAAGGGACGCAACTCTGCACAGCGGCACCTTCGATGTTACAATAACAGAGAACAGAACATTCTTACCTCTGCATTTACATACACTTTACATACACTTGACTTTGCCAAGATATGCCCCAAAACAGGCTTATGTCTTTGGAATTGAAATGGCACATTTCAAGGTCACCCTAACAGTTGGGAAAGCTTCATGTGAAATAAAATGTGCTTATTTTAAAAAAAATCTGATTCACCCTTGAATTATCCAAAACAATAATTGTCCAACAAAGAGAATTACTGACAATGTTTTGACATCTTTTATTGCCTTTACAATGATTTTTGTTTGTTTGTTTGTTGTTTAACACCACACTCAGCAATATTTCAGCTATGTGACTGCTGTCTGTAAATAATCAAGACAATCAGGTGATTGACATCATGAGCACAGACCCATGCCATTGGGATACGTTGACATGCATCAACTAGGTGTCAATTGTGATGGAGTGAGTGAGTTTGCATGGCTTGATGCCTCTTTTGGCAATATTACAGCAGGGGACACCAAGAAATTGGCTTCATTGTACCCATGTGGGGAACTAAAGAACAGAACTCCCAGTACTCTCAGCAAAGAATGAACTTCGCAATAATATTAGCTTGTTCTCACCTTGGACCAATCGTAGCTGGATGCATAGGCGAAAATGTTGCCCTGAGCGTTGAAGTTACAGGTCGTGATAGGCTGGTCAAACTGGTCCGAGGTCTTCAGCTTGGTGCGGGCGTCCTTGTCCCAGAAGCTGAATCGGCCATCAGATCCCACAGTTGACAGAGTGCCGTGGACGGGATGGAACGAGATGTCATTCACCTGCAGAAGAGTGGCATCCTGTATTCAGTGTTTCAGGTAAATAGAACTCAAATAGTACATGATACCTCATTGTCCAATCATGTACTGTCTTTATGTTTGTTTTTTGATTAACAACGCACTCAGCAATATTCCAGCTATATGATGGCAGTCAGTAAAAATCGAGTCAGGACCAGCCAATCCAGTGATTGACATCATGAGCATCTATCCACACAATTGGGATACCATGACCTGCATCAACCAGGTCAGCAAGCCTGACCCCTCGATCACGTTAGTCGCCTCTTTCAACAAGCACAGTCACTTTTTATAGCAAGCATGGGTTGCTGAGGACCTATTCACCCCGGATCTTCAAGGGTCCTTTATGCTTGTGACTCATGTTCAGTGGTCAATCACATTTTCAACAATGAATCGTATAACAATATCAATGTCTTTCTTTACATACAGAAAAATGGAAAATTAATTGTATTGCAATACATCGCAATACAGAGAGCTGTATTGTGATGCATATTGAAATACGTGTTAGAGCCCAAATTATATATATTTGTACTGTTCTAATGGCACTTCTTCATTCAATAATCCAGCCTTCTGACTACGAAATAGGTAGTATGGATAAACGAGACTGATTGCACGGTTTAGATAGGAACCTGTCCACCCAAACCCCTCAAGATAGTTGACATAATTTTTATAATTATATATTTAGAATTTCTCTGTGACTGTATTGGAAAATATTGATATGCAAGGGTTGAAATGCGATATATTGGTATAGTAGTTATATTGCACAACCCTACTTTAAGCCAAAGTTTGAAATAATTTTAAAACCAACCAGACAGTGGGACAGGTGTTGCCTGGCAATCTTCAAAGTTATCTGACCGCATTAAAAACATTATAAATATGGAAATATTGTCAAAAATATGAGACAAATCCAACTTTATTGAGTTGAAATAATGTAAAGACTTGAATACATAAGTAGTCTTAAAATTGTCTGCAAGACAGTTGGGCAAGGGAGGAACAAAATTTCATGCAAAAGTTACCAGTCACGGGCAGGGGGGCAGGCAGCTATTTCCGACACTGCTTCAAGCCATTCTTTAAACATTACAAAGAATCCTGAACAGATCAAAAACATCAGCTCATAAACATGATGGAGAGACAGCTGGCTTGCCATGCCCACCACCATTAGGTGAGGTGAGGTCAAATGGGTGTAACGTCTCATTCTAACTGTTTGTTGTTTAATGCCGCACAATCCAGTGACTGACATCATGAGCATTGATCGGCGCAACTGGGATATGATGAAATGCATCAACCAAATCAATGAGCCTTACCAATCAATCCTGTTAGTTGCCTTTTATGACAAGCATGGGTTGCTGAGGACCAATTTCTTATTAGGAATCTTTATGGTACATAATGTCGGATTCAAGAATGTTGCACTTACATAGCAAAGAACATGCAAGTATGTGTTTGTAGCTGCATGTACTAGTCTGGATTTACACAGTGCTAGCCTCAGTTAAACATGGATACCGCACTCACAGAATAATGCCTCAGAGCCAATCAGTCCTTGTTTAATCCTCTTAATGTAGGCAGGGTAACAATAAATACCATTTTTTACCTCTTTTGATATGACACAGGCAGGGGATTTGACCACCGACCTCCTGCTCTCGAGCCTATGCTCTATACATTAGACCCCACGGGTGTCCTGACAACCATTAGTCCAAGGTGACCATCTGTCCTACACACAGATGAACTTACCGCATATATGTCCTGCACGCCGTTGGACGCTCCGTTAGACCGGTGGCACTTGAAGGTGAAGTTGTCCTTGGGGTTGGTGGGGTTGACGTAGTGTATAGCCACACGGCCCTCAATGCTGCCCAGCGCAAAGCCGGTCGGAGCATTCGTCTTCTTGTCCAGGAAGATGCTCACACAGCGATGCTGCACAGAGAAACAAGGGATTAACAAGTATGTCAGAAAAAAACTTCAGAACGATTCTCACTTCTTGCAACTATGAGGATTCTGTCTAAAAGTCCCCTGGTCGAATAATGGTTCATAAGTGAATAATCTTCAAATACATACTAAATATTATATTCATAAATATCCAGTAACCATGGTCACATGATCTAGTTACAGTCTGATTTGCAATTTCTAATAAGCAAGAGTTCAGTTTCAATAGGACCGTGTAGAAGATGAATAATTGATATGCTGTGGAAATTAGGTCAATCTTTCAGCTGAGGCAATAGCAAATAAATAAAATACAAATTTTAGATTCTGTTCGAGGGCTTGCTTTTGATAACATGACAGAACTTCTTGAAATTACATGAGTGTGTAGGAGTTCAAGTATTTCCTACTTAAAACAACACATAGAGTAAACCAGTAATACACAGCAACATTTTCGTCACCTGGTACTTGAGGGGTGATTCCATCCTCTTGAACTCTTGAGGCTGGTTCTCCAGTTGGTAGATGATGAGACCCCGACCCGCTGTGCCAACAACTGCCATGGGGTATTTCTACAACAGGGACATACGATGCAGGTATATTATCCTCATAATTATCATATGATACTGATGAAAGTATGTAAGCACACTTTCCAAACTGATCAAAGAGGGTTGCTGAAGACAAATTCTAACCCAGATCTTCACGGTCGGCATGGACACAGAAAGCTAAGCACTTTTGATGTAATATCGCTGTTATATGCCTGTGGTATGGCTGTCACATGTCTGTGGTTGCCTGTGGTATGGTTGTAATATGCCTGTGGTGTGGCTGTTATATGCCTGTGGTGTGGCTGTTGTATGCCTGTGGTATGACTGTTATGTGCCTGTGGTGTGGGTGTTGTATGCCAGTGGTATGGCTCGTATATGCCTGTGGTATGGCTGTTATTGCCTGTGGTATAGGTGTTATATGCCTGTGGTATGGCTGTGGTTACCTATGGATACCTGTGGTTGGCTGTTACTCACCACATCAGCACAATAGCATCTCTCGGGGAGCTGGATGTTCATGATGGGGTTTGGTGACCGAGTGTCCCAGAACTGGGGGAGAAAGACACTTCAACATTATTCAGAAACATGGCAGCACAAACTATCATACGCTCCTGGCATCATGTTTGTTTAACAGTTACGATACTGAGTCTACTAGTATAAGTAGTTTGGTTGTCTCTTGTGACAAGCATCAGTGATATTCTGATTGGGTGCCTTTTCTGACTTGGAATCTTCACAGGGAGACACGCATGGGGTACTGGGGACCTATTCTGACCAGGAATAACTAAAGGGAGACAAGCATGGGGTACTGGGGACCTATTCTGACCAGGAATAACTAAAGGGAGACAAGTATGGGGTACTGGGGACCTATTCTGACCAGTAATAACTAAAGGGAGACAAGTATGGGGTACTGGGGACCTATTCTGACCAGTAATAACTAAAGGGAACGAAGCATGGGGTACTGGGGACCTATTCTGACCAGGAATAACTAAAGGGAGACAAGTATGGGGTACTGGGGACCTATTCTGACCAGTAATAACTAAAGGGAGACAAGTATGGGGTACTGGGGACCTATTCTGACCAGTAATAACTAAAGGGAACGAAGCATGGGGTACTGGGGACCTATTCTGACCAGTAATAACTAAAGGGAGACAAGCATGGGGTACTGGGGACCTATTCTGACCAGTAATAACTAAAGGGAGACAAGCATGGGGTACTGGGGACCTATTCTGACCAGGAATCCCTACAGGGAGACAAGTATGGGGTACTGGGGACCTATTCTGACCAGTAATAACTAAAGGGAGACAAGCATGGGGTACTGGGGACCTATTCTGACCAGGAATCCCTAAAGGGAATCAACCATGAGGTACTCGAGACCTATTCTGACCAGGACCATGCCATACTCAGCAATATTCCAGCTATATGATGGCAGTCTGTAAATAATCAAGTCTGAACCATACAATCCAATGATTGACATCATGAGCATCGATCCATGCAATTGGAATATGACATTCATGGGGTACTAGGGGCCTATTCTGACCATAAATCCTTACAGAGACAAGCATGGGGTGGGTACTGAGGACCTATTCTGAAGAAAACCTTCAGCTACCAGAAACCCTGTATGACTTTACCTTGAGAGTCTTGTCCCAGCTGCCTGTCATCACACAGCTGTAGTTGGGGGCCTTCACCCAGTGCACCGTCTTGATTGGAGCATCATGCTGTAACAGCCACACAACATTGTAGCCATGGTGGAACACAACCTAAAACTAGCACCATTACATTACTGATCACGTAAGTATGCAAACAAACAAGATGACGAAATCTGTTTTATCATGAGTGAGTGAGTGAGTGAGTTGGGTTTAATGCCACTTTTAACAATATTTCAGTTACATCTGACGTGTCAGCTTAATGTAGGTGAGGTGAGGTGAGGTGAAATGGGGTTTTATCGTCGCACCCAAGATTATTGCACTTATATATAGCGACGTGCATGTACGTGTGTGTGTTTGTGTGGCTGCTTGAACTAGTCCGGACTGATGCCGATTTATAGTGCTAGCTCACTGAGATACCATGCCGCAGTTTAACATGAATACCCCACTCAGACACAGTATACTGACTCTGAGCCGACCAGTCCTTGTTTTAGCCCCTTAATGCTGAGCGCCAGACAGGGTAACAACAAGCCATCTCTTGACGTCTTTTGGTATGACGCGGTCGGGGATCGAACCCCGGACCTTCCGCTCTCCAGGCGGACGCTCTACCACTAGACCACGGAGGTGGTCCTTAATGTAAGAGTGATGAAGGTCTCAGACTTTTAAAACTTCAGTGAAACACACAAGCACGGTATAGTGCTGACAAACCTAGAAACATATTCAGGGCAAACTGGGATCTGAACCCACGATCACAGGTTTCTGGTTTGCCCTGCAAATATTTAAACTGTGCTACTTGTAAAGCCTGCTTGTATCTCACCTGTGCTACTTGTAAGGCCTGCCTGTATCTCACCTGTGCTACCTGTAAAGCCTGCCTGTATCTCACCTGTGCTACTTGTAAAGCCTGCCTGTATCTCACCTGTGCTACTTGTAAAGCCTGCCTGTATCTCACCTGTGCTACTTGTAAAGCCTGCCTGTATCTCACCTGTGCTACTTGTAAAGCCTGCCTGTATCTCACCTGTGCTACCTGTAAAGCCTGCCTGTATCTCACCTGTGCTACTTGTAAAGCCTGCCTGTATCTCACCTGTGCTACGTGTAAGGCCTGCCTGTATCTCACCTGTGCTACCTGTAAAGCCTGCCTGTATCTCACCTGTCCTACTTATAAAGCATGCCTGTATCTGACCTGTGCTACTTGTAAAGCCTGATTGTATCTCACCTGTGCTACTTGTAAAGCCTGCCTGTATCTCACCTGTGCTACTTGTAAGGCCTGATTGTATCTGACCTGTGCTACTTGTAAAGCCTGCCTGTATCTCACCTGTGCTACTTGTAAGGCCTGATTGTATCTCACCTGTGCGAGTTGTAAAGCCAGCCTGTATCTCACCTGTGCTACTTGTAAGGCCTGCTTGTATCTCACCTGTGCTACTTGTAAAGCCTGCCTGTATCTCACATGTGCTACTTGTAAAGCCTGCCTGTATCTCACCTGTGCTACTTGTAAAGCCTGCCTGTATCTCACCTGTGCTACTTGTTAAGCCTGCCTGTATCTCACCTGTGCTACTTGTAAAGCCTGCCTGTATCTGACCTGTGCTACTTGTAAGGCCTGATTGTATCTGACCTGTGCTACTTGTAAAGCCTGCTTGTATCTGACCTGTGCTACATGTAAAGCCTGCCTGTATCTCACCTGTGCTACTTGTAAAGCCTGCCTGTATCTGACCTGTGCTACTTGTAAAGCCTGATTGTATCTGACCTGTGCTACTTGTAAAGCCTGCCTGTATCTCACCTGTGCTACTTGTAAGGCCTGCTTGTATCTCACCTGTGCTACATGTAAAGCCTGCCTGTATCTCACCTGTGCTACTTGTAAAGCCTGCCTGTATCTGACCTGTGCTACTTGTAAAGCCTGATTGTATCTGACCTGTGCTACTTGTAAAGCCTGCCTGTATCTCACCTGTGCTACTTGTAAGGCCTGCTTGTATCTCACCTGTGCTACTTGTAAAGCCTGCCTGTATCTCACCTGTGCTACTTGTAAGGCCTGCCTGTATCTCACCTGTGCTACTTGTAAGGCCTGATTGTATCTCACCTGTGCTAGTTGTAAAGCCTGCCTGTATCTCACCTGTGCTACTTGTAAGGCCTGCTTGTATCTCACCTGTGCTAGTTGTAAAGCCTGCCTGTATCTCACCTGTGCTACTTGTAAAGCCTGCTTGTATCTGACCTGTGCTACTTGTAAAGCCTGATTGTATCTCACCTGTGCGAGTTGTAAAGCCAGCCTGTATCTCACCTGTGCTACTTGTTAAGCCTGCCTGTATCTCACCTGTGCTACTTGTAAAGCCTGCCTGTATCTCACCTGTGCTACTTGTAAGGCCTGATTGTATCTGACCTGTGCTACTTGTAAAGCCTGCTTGTATCTGACCTGTGCTACATGTAAAGCCTGCCTGTATCTCACCTGTGCTACTTGTAAGGCCTGCCTGTATCTCACCTGTGCTACTTGTAAGGCCTGATTGTATCTCACCTGTGCTAGTTGTAAAGCCTGCCTGTATCTCACCTGTGCTACTTGTAAGGCCTGCTTGTATCTCACCTGTGCTACTTGTAAAGCCTGCCTGTATCTCACCTGTGCTACTTGTAAAGCCTGCCTGTATCTGACCTGTGCTACTTGTAAAGCCTGCCTGTATCTCACCTGTGCTACTTGTAAGGCCTGATTGTATCTGACCTGTGCTACTTGTAAAGCCTGCTTGTATCTGACCTGTGCTACATGTAAAGCCTGCCTGTATCTCACCTGTGCTACTTGTAAGGCCTGCCTGTATCTCACCTGTGCTACTTGTAAGGCCTGATTGTATCTCACTTGTGCTAGTTGTAAAGCCTGCCTGTATCTCACCTGTGCTACTTGTAAGGCCTGCTTGTATCTCACCTGTGCTACTTGTAAAGCCTGCCTGTATCTCACCTGTGCTACTTGTAAGGCCTGATTGCTGTTGAGGTCCCACATCTTCACAGTCTTGTCACACGATGCAGTGAACACCTTGGTGCCATCCTGGAAACACAGCCTTCAACTGTCACACACTACTGGTACATAACAGTCAGGTGGCTAAACACAACCCATATTGGAGAGCTACACACTGTTTTGTTTGTTTGTTGTTTAACGCCGCACTCCGCAATATTCCAGCTATATGACGGCGGTCTGTAAAATAATCGAGTCTGGACCAGACAATCCAGTGATTGACATCATGAGCATCGATCCACACAATTGGGACCGATGACATGTATCAACCAAGTCAGAGAGCCTGACCACCCGATCCCGTTAGTCGCCTTTTACAACAAGCATAGTCGCCTTTTACGGCAAGTATGGGTTGCTGAAGACCTATTCTACCCCGGAATCTTCACGGGTCAGCTACACACTGAAGTTCCAGCCACGGCATGACAGGTCTGGGCTTCAGACACAGGAGAATCAACCCAAGGTTGTATATTCAGTTAGGAGGGGATTTATTTGTTTATTTGTTTGCTGTTTAGTGCAGCATTCAGCACTATTCCAGCTATATGATGATGGTAAGTAAATAAATTAATAAAGTTTGGACCAGAGAATCTAGTGATTGTTATTATAAGCAACAATCCATGCCGTTAGGATACAATGACATGATCCACCAAGTCATCGAGCCTGATGGTGAAATTCACTTACCGTATTCATCATAATAAGCACCCGGCTCTAATAAGCGCCCACGGCGATATTTGCTAATATATTGGCTAGTGAACAATCCCAATTAGCACCTCTTCCGATCGATCAATGTACACAACACTTATTTATTCATGTTTAATATGCACTTGTGTGTTATATGCACCCTAAAATCAAATTGCTAGAAAAATATATCTGTCGGATATTAACATTTCAGGGTGTCGGCATAAACCACGAAATTTATGATCTTTCAACTCTGTTTTTTTCACCAAAATAATATTCTAATAAGATACCCCTATTTCTAAGTTTTAGAGCGCCCGAGCCGCTTATTACGTTGAATACAGTAGTCAACTTTTACGACCAGCAGTGGGTTTGCTGGGGACCTATTCCAGCCTGGAATCCCAACCGGATTTAAAAGGGAAGTGAGCTTGTGCTGCTTCAAGCAGTATCCCTGTAAAGTCATGTTTGGGGTACGAAGAAAACCCCTCACACACTGTGCAAGGATGGGACAGAGAACCTGGCTCTGTGTGGCAAGCGACCACTGGACTATCCCACATCTCAAAATAAAGTTGACTGGGTAATGATTGATGAATCAAGTTCCGTACTGTCATACCATTCATACATGAATTATCATATTCTGAACAATTGTTCAGGTTGTACTGTTTAACATTGTTTAATTTCACTGAAAGTGCAGGAAATCTTTCTGTCCTATGATGAGTGAGTAAGTGAGTATGGTTTTACGCCGCTTTTAGCAATATTCCAACAATATCACGGCTGGGGTCACCAGAAATGGGTTTCACACATTGTACCCATGTCGGGAATCGAATCCGGGTCTTCGGCGTGACGCGCGAAGGCTTTAACCACTAGGCTACCCGACCGCCCCCCTATGATAAGCACAGGGCTACTAGTTTGACGTCAGAATAAACTGTCAATGAAACTGTATGCCTGTTACTAATGGGTTTGTGTTATGTCTCAAGCTGTGAAACAAAGTCACCAGAGAAACAAATATTAGTGTTGCAGACGTAGGCCCATTTTCTAGGCCTGTAACGTAAATGTCATAAAAGTGAGTGTGTTTGTATTGATTATTAATGCTGTGTCCTATGCTTACTGGTTCCAAAATGTTGGCTTCAATAATCACATAACAGGTCTTGTATTGTTTGTACATCACACTGACTATATGAGGTAGTGATTTCATATTGTTCTGTATTAAAGAATGCCTATCAACTAAAGGTATTGTACAAAATCTAATCAAATAGTCAGTGATTCATATCTATTATATATTGTAATCATGTGTATCCAGCTGATGAGATTCTTATGTTGCAAAACAATTCCCTTGGGATAATAAAATCTATGTTATGTTTCTTTCTTACTTTTGATTCAGCCACTGAAATTTAGGGTGCTTTTGAAAAAACAGTATGCGAAAGCATGTACAGTCAAGTCCCGTTAATCCGACATCGATGGTTGCATATGATTATGTCGGATTAACGAAATTTAGTAGTATCAACATTCGTGACATCGGACAAGTACACGATAGATAAGGATTCAAACACGTAATAAAAAATATAAAATAAATATAAATAAGATTGAGGTAATCTAAGCAAGTGATTTATCCTGTTTTCTTTATTTAAAGCATTAATTGTTTATTGTTAAGCAAGTTTATCTCTACAGCCATTGTAACATGCAGCTACCAGCAGATTCGTCTTGCATCAAAACATGGGCTGTGTACTCGCAGGCAGATGACCACGGAGTTCGCTGATCACTGTTTCGGATTAATGAGACTGATTAATGAGTGATTTCGATAATTCGTTGCAAATTAGGTGTGTCTGAGTCGGAGTGTGAGACTGTCGGATTAACGGGTCAAAATAGCACTGATTTAATCGGTTCCCATCATTAGTGTCGGATAAAGCCGACTGTCGGATTAACGAGTGTCGGATTAACGAGACTCGACTGTATATTACATAGAAGGTCTTTACAAAGAAGAAGAAAAACCCAAAACAACCTAGAAGGTCTTACATCACTCCAGTCTACATCCAGCACTGGTCCTGTGTGAGTCTGCTGGGCCTTGGGGATTGTCTGGCCACTCTGCTGCACTTCCCAACAACGCACCTGCCACAAGAAGTACATAGTCCAAAGGTCAGTAGGTACACAAGATGTTTTTCAGACTATAGCTCTTTTATGAATGTCACCAAAGACTTTTGAACAAAGAACAATGAGTGAGAGAGTCTGGTTTAACGACGCTCATAACACTATTCCAGTTATATCACTGTGTGTCAGCTTGATGTGGGAGGAAAGCCCGAAGTGATGCAGGTCTTAGATGTTTACCACTTCGGTGAAACCCACGAACACGGGTATGGTGCTGACAAACCTGGAAACATAATCGGGGTGCACTGGGATTTGAACCCACAACCATAGTTTTCTGGCGTACCAAAGGGACGCAACTCTGCAAAGTGAATTGCGGCGCCTTAGACAACTGGGCCCCCATGCCCCCCAAATGAAAAATGACATATATAAACACTGTATCATTTAGTACTCACACTGTATCACTAAGTACTCACGTTGTTGTCCCAGCTGCCTGCTACAAGGAATGTGGAGGGGAGAGCACCGGGGCTGAACTTGAGGCAACTTACACTGTCATCAGGGGGAGAGGCAACCTGCAAGACACACATGGTTCTCAACATGGACATTCCAAACATACATACATTTTTAAACTTATCCTATCTCACACTATGCATTTTTTTCTTATTCTTCGATTTTGGTGTGGAAACTTTAGTAGTGATGCTGTGTATTCAAATTTTATATATAAAAAAAAAAAAAAAAAAAAAAATTCTCTGTTCAAGAATAACATCCGAACACCATAGCGATTGAATTGAGAATGAGGGTGCTGGATATGTCAGGTGATCAGGTCGCTGGGGTCGTGTCGCACGGGATTTTAGTGGTGCGTGAACCATGATCACAGTGGTGATTTGGTGATGTATGGGATGTGTTTGGGTAAGTGGTGTTTTTTGAAGCTGGAAACTTTGTTCTAGGACGTTTCCACACCAAGATCGAAGAATAAGAAGAAATGCATAGTGTGAGATAGGAAAAGTTTATAAATTTCCACTATCAGAAAATTTACAATAAATGTTTAAAAAGTACTCAAACTCTTTCACATGTATGAACACCTTACAATGACTTAGTTTTCAAAACTAAACATGATGGGGTTTCTTACCATAAACCTAATGGTAAAACTCAAAATTTGGCATATTTTGGTCTACCTCAGTTCAAATTGTTTAGGAGCAAACCTCTGGGACCCTACCAACTTTATTTCTTCCAATGATGATGCTTGACTTTGTTAACAATGATCAGTAATGTCAAGTCCTAACTACTTTCATATATAACTACTGTTTCTCTTTGACACTAGCGGTTCTATCTTGTCTGGATAAATAAGGTTTCACCTACCTCAATGTCCTTCATGGGATTGTATGCTGTGTTGTTTGTGGATGAACCGAACATATTGGACTGACCGAATTGTGATGTGCCACCAAATATACTCATGGTGTTCCAAACCCACCAGAGATAACTGAAAACAAAGGTAAACACACTACACTATGACGTCTGTGAATGGCATTCAAGAGTGAGTAGGATTAGTAAAAAAAACACTTTCATTTTCACACAGCATCAGTTGAAGGTAAACATGTGCAGTGGGGCGCTAGATGTGCAGTGGGGCTCTAGATGTGCATTAAGGCACTAGATGTGCAATAAGGCACTAGATGTGCAATAAGAGCCTCGCAAACCAAGGATCATCATCTGTTCAAGTTTATTGTTTGTTTGTTTGTTTGTTTGTTGTCTAACGCCGCATTCAGCAATATTCCAGCTATATGACGGCGGTCTGCAAATAATCGAGTCTGGACCAGACAATCCAGTGATTGATATCATGAGCATCGATCCACGCAATTGGGATCGATGACATGCTTCAACCAAGTCAGCGAGCCTGACCACCCGATCCCGTTAGTCGCCTTTTACGGCAAGCTGGGTTGCTGAAGACCTATTCTACCCCAGATCTTCACGGGTCTGTTCAAGTTTAGGTTGCCATCCATTCAGTTACAGTCTATGGTTATAACAAACTCAAAGGGACTACTAATTTAAGTTTGTAATAGCCGTAATTCGTTATAAGCACATATACAGCACACATACAACAAATGACCAGGACTAAAAAACAAGTCGTTAAAAGAGTGTTCGTCATAAACGTAGTTTACTGTACTTGATAATGATATTGGTAGTTTTATTAAAGTATTTCAAAACCAATCTAATTGGAGGAAGCAACTGTACATATTACCATTCCATTAAATATGCTATACATAATGTCCGCCTGGATAAAACTCACTAATGTAGTCTGGCCTAGACAACCAGTGAAGGAAAGCATGAGCCAGGTTATTCACCATATCCTGATCCAGATTCTAGACAATTCTTTGAACAAGCATCAGTTAGATTTGTTGTACGATCAATCACCCCTTTACGATCATTCGGGTTAGGTACCCGTTTAGTGGCTATTAGATTACCCGAACTCTGTCCTTAGCCCTTGGATCCCCTTTACGGTCAATCATCCCTTTACGATCATTAGGGTTAGGTAAATCTACCCGTTTAGTGGTTATTGTAGATTCTATAGCGGCTCCTGATATTCTTCACACAAAAACGTCAAGTAAAAAGTATGAAATGGTTTTGTGTCTAATACTTTGGCTACTGGAAACTGTCCTGGAACATTCACACAAGCCACTTTCACCGGCTACATTTTTTCAGTACTGATTCAAAAGCAAACTCACCGTTGTGTCTTCACTAGTCATGCTTATTCCTCCCTCGTTCCTTATTATTATCCACATCATTCTTACAGTGTTCCCTACCACACTTTTCTGTCACAAAAATCAACATATCATTCATGTGTACTCGCGAGTTCGACGTCTGACGCCGTTTTCAGTTCGCGGCATATCGGCTCATTCCTCACCACTCGGTATCTGGTAGATTATGGAATGGGACGAGTGTGCAAAATGGCATCGGGATAATTCGTAAGTGTCCGTAGAATAAAGTCACGAGACACCATGCCCACCCGTAACCTTCGTAAGTGTCCGTCACCTATTCAACCCTTTTCGTTCAGTTCCGTGACGTCATAGGCATGACTAGGTAAATTTGCACTAAGTTTAACAGTGTGGACATAGCTCAGTCGGTTAACTGTCAGGCTAACAATCCGAAGGTGCCGGGTTCGCGTCCGACCGATTCTCACAAAAACTGGTTGCTTGTCTTGAGACGTGTGACCTACGGCAGAGATCGTCCTCACGAGAAGTTGTGGTACTGTATTCTTAAGGTGCTCCTAAACTGTTGTATTGACAATGATTAAAGAATGCATATCAGGGATTTATCTAGATTGGGTCAGTATCGGCCCTAAGTCTGCAGCAAATGTTACTTAAAATTCCCAATATGAATTTAAAATTTCCTAATTCCTAAGAATTAAAACACTAAAACAATCAAATTTTGAACAAGTTCATCCCATCTTGCTTGCCAAGGGCACTTAGTTTGGAATCCAAGATGAATCCCTACATATCATCCCAGATATCATTAACATTTCAAATCAGATGTGTTGAGTTCACCATGAGAATAATATGTCACACAGAAAAAATAGTGTCTTAAGTGTCTGTTAAACTCTCTATTCATGCTGTGTACAGTGTGAGGCAATATGTACAGCAAGATGTGTCATTATATGACAATATCAAAACATGAAACAGACATGACAAATGACATTCAGTTATTGAAAGACTACAACAAAAACAGCATCATGAATACCTCACTTGCTCCGACACAAATCACTATTATCAACACTTATTCTCATGCAATGTCTCTTTTATAGGCCCTATGACCTAATCATCCAAAAATAGACTTGTGTAATTGTGTAATTTGTGAAATTCTGTAACTCAACTGACTTGAGCCAGTTCAGGCAGAGCAAAGCAGTTCCTGCTTATTCGTTCTTGGGTCAACCGCCTTTTGCGTTAAACCTGTCACGTTTTTTAAAACCTCATACACACAATACAGAAATGCGAAAGGACGTTCGCCAATATTGTCATTAGCCTGACTGGGTTCTACCAGTACGACCCATGTCAAAATCAGTGAGCCGGTTGTTGACTTTTTAGGCAAAACGAGTAAATTCATAAAATATGAACTATATCTGTTTTTGCTATCATGCTCATTGACTTGTACAAGGAAGGTATTCCAGTAAAAGTAATCATGTCGCAAAACTTATTTATTATCAACATAAACTGAAGTAGAAATAGAAAACGAACTTTTCTTTCTCCGTCCGCAGATGGCGCTCTCACAGAAATTTAGGACCGGATATATAACACGGACAAAACAAATATTTTGCAAATTAGAAACGAGTGTGTGTGCAAATCGGCCTGTAAATCAGCTATATTTGACACACAAAGACATTTCTGTTTCAAGTGTTGATGCCTTTGGCATAGCGTGCCATCGTATTTCTGTATTAAGTCTACATGATTTCGTATTTCGTATTTCAGGCAAGCTTTTCAACAAACCAAATAAATTCGATTAGAGTTATCTCCCTTATAAGCATGGGCCACAAGCTCCACCCCAGTGCGTGACACCTTCGTTACCCTCCCGATTATCATCGCGATACGGCTCCGGGAACGGGCTATCGCTGCGAGGAACTTGACATGGCCAATGTGCCTCCAAATGCTGCAGTAGTATTTTGGATGCACAGTTGATTTAGAAAAAAGTACCATAGGTTCAGGTACGCAGTGATTTTTCTGTTTTGAATTTTAAATACACACGTCGACAGTCATATTTTTGTTATCACGATGGAATTATGACAAACTGAAAAATATGTATTAGGCTGTGTATGGGGAAAATCTAGACCGACTGATACTATCACTCATCAGTACTTCTGTCATTTGAATTCTGCTCATCATTTTGAGATATAAAAATATGACATAATGTATAGACCAGATAGGATTCCCAAGTGTGAATTATGAAACTGTCTTTGTAATTAGATAAGTTTTTTTGTAATTGATATATTATTTCTGAGTCGCTGTTACAGGTGTAAATTAAATGTTTGTCTAAATTGAACACTGATATTATATATACATGTATATATATTCACACTCACATCCACTCACTTTCTGTACTAACAACTAATAAGAATTAATATAGTGACATCAAAACAAAACAATTAAGTCAGCAAGAACCATTGTACATATAAGTCAAGATCATTGAGCTCACATAGATCTACATTAGCTAGCATGGTAGAACATTCACTTGGTATAGAACTGTAGCTGGTGGCTTTTGCTATAAGAAATATTTCTTTCAATGATATAGCTGTTGTGAATATTATGTTTAAAGATTGATTATGTGATTGACCTTGACCCTTACTGGATTCCTGAGATACAGTAAAGTATGTTTATAACAAACATGCTTGTAACAAACTGACGGATAATACGAACTGTTCGTTTGGTCCCGGCCATTTGCTGTATATTTTATCATATAGAATTGATGGATATAACGAATATGCTTTGTGGTCCCGTGTGTACTCTGTCAACTATAATGTTAAAGTTTATAACGAACTGTCAGTCCCTGAGCTGAGCTGAGCTGCTCATGTGTCACCAGTCTGCCTATCAAAACATCTGAGGCCATGCGGGTGGTTAAAGCGTTCGCTCGTCACGCCGAAGACCCGGGTTCGATTCCCGACATGGGTACAATGTGTGAAGCCCATTTCTGGTGTCCCCCGCCGTGATATTGCTGGAATATTGCTAAAAGCGGCGTAAAACCATACTCACTCACTCACTCTGAGGCCATGCACAGCTTTTCAAAGCGGCAATAAACAATTGAAGGCAATTGATTTACTCTTAAGTACTGACACTTTGTCCTCAAATTACACCCTAAATTAACAATACCATCACAGTGATTTGGCTATAGCCTTTGAAGTGGATATGTTCTGTGTATAAAATGAGACAACTCAAGTGAGGAAATTCAGCATTTTCAGTAAAATTTTATTGATTGGTAAATCCGCGAAACCAAGGTGTTTTAAGTATGTTGTGACAGTCGAAATACTTATAACTAACTTCGGATATAACAAAATAAAATTAGTGGTCCCTTTGAGTTTGCTGAAACCGTAGTTTACTGTACATGGTCGACATCACTGGAGCCCACCAACTGTTTGATGTTTTTGGTCACTGTGAGGGACCTGTCTCATTCAGTGCCAGTGTATGCTGATGGCAGGAATCATTGCCCGACCCGTCAACTTCTGGCTTGTCTGGTCAAAACTCAATTACCAATACTTGCAAGCTAAAATGTAGTGTTTGCGACTGTTACTTTAGATATTTCTATTTAAATATTGTTGTTGAAAGAACATATTGTTTTGAATCAAAGGCTTGAACCTTGCATCACTTTGAACTTTAGCCTACGCTGTTTAAATTGGATGTCTGTTCAGTATTTACATGGAAGGAATACAATACTCCTAGCACTAAAATGATGGTAACTCCCTTACTTTAACATAGGTTTACGATACCCCTAGTGCAAAGATTATGGTTACTCCCTTACTTTAACATAGGTTTACGATACTCCGAGCACAAAAATGATAGTAACTCCCTTCTTTAACATAGGTATACAATAGTCCTAGCGCTAAGATGATGGTAACTCCCTTACTTTAACACAGGCTTACAATACTCCTAGCGCTAAGATGATGGTAACTCCCTTACTTTAACCCAGGCTTACGATACTCCGAGCACAAAAATGATGGTAACTCCCTTCTTTAACATAGGTATACAATACTCCTAGCGCTAAGATGATGGTAACTCCCTTTCTTTAACACAGGTTTACAATACTCCTAGCACTAAGATGATGGTAACTCCCTTACTTTAACACAGGCTTACAATACTCCTAGCGCTAAGATGATGGATACTCCCTTACTTTAACACAGGTTTACTATACTCCTAGTGCTAAGATGATGGTAACTCCCTTACTTTAACACAAGCTTACAATACTCCTTGCACTAAGATGATGGTAACTCCCTTACTTTAACACAGGTATACAATACTCCTAGCGCTAAGATGATGGTAACTCCCTTACTTTAACATAGGTATACAATACTCCTTGCACTAAGATGGTGGTAACTCCTTTACTTTAACACAGGCTTACGATACTCCGAGCACAAAAATGATGGTAACTCCCTTCTTTAACATAGGTATACAATACTCCTAGCGCTAAGATGATGGTAACTCCCTTTCTTTAACACAGGCTTACAATACTCCTAGCGCTAAGATGATGGTAACTCACTTACTTTAACACAGGCTTACAATACTCCCAGCGCTAAGATGATGGTAACTCCCTTACTTTAACACAGGCTTACGATACTCCTAGAGCTAAGATGATGGTAACTCCCATACTTTAACACAGGCTTACAATACTCCTAGCGCTAAGATGATGGTAACTCCCATACTTTAACACAGGCTTACAATACTCCTAGCGCTAAGATGATGGTAACTCCCATACTTTAACACAGGCTTACAATACTCCTTGCACTAAGATGATGGTTACTCCCTTACTTTAACACAGGTTTACTTTACTCCTAGCGCTAAGATGATGGTAACTCCCTTACTTTAACACAGGCTTACAATACTCCTAGCGCTAAGATGATGGTAACTCCCATACTTTAACACAGGCTTACAATACTCCTTGCACTAAGATGATGGTAACTCACTTACTTTAACATAGGTATGCAATACTCCTAGCGCTAAGATGATGGTAACTCACTTACTTTAACATAGGTATGCAATACTCCTAGCGCTAAGATGATGGTAACTCCCTTACTTTAACATAGGTATACAATACTCCTAGCGCTAAGATGATGGTAACTCCCTTCTTTAACATAGGTATACAATACTCCTAGCGCTAAGATGATGGTTACTCCCTTACTTTAACACAGGTTTACTTTACTCCTAGCGCTAAGATGATGGTAACTCCCTTTCTTTAACACAGGCTTACAATACTCCTAGCGCTAAGATGATGGTAACTCCCTTACTTTAACACAGGTTTACTTTACTCCTAGCGCTAAGGTGATGGTAACTCCCTTACTTAAACACAGGCTTACAATACTCCCAGCGCTAAGATGATGGTAACTCCCATACTTTAACACAGGCTTACAATACTCCTAGCGCTAAGATGATGGTAACTCCCTTACTTTAACACAGGTTTACTTTACTCCTAGCGCTAAGATGATGGTAACTCCCTTACTTAAACACAGGCTTACAATACTCCTAGCGCTAAGATGATGGTAACTCCCATACTTTAACATAAGCTTGTGATTCTCCTGGCACTAAGATGATGGTAACTCCCTTGCTTTAACACAGGCTTACAATACTCCTAGCGCTAAGATGATGGTAACTCCCTTACTTTAACATAGGTTTATGATACTCCTAGCGCTAAGATGATGGTAACTTCCTTTAAGATAAGCTTACAATACTAATAGCGCTAAGATGATGGTAACTCCCTCACTTTAACATAAGCTTACAATACTCCTAGAGATAAGATCGCTTTGTGGAACGAGACCCAGGTCAACTGCAACCAGGCTGAGCTTTGTCTCTTGTTAGATTTGATTCAACAAGCAAGAAATATTCAGGTGTACAGATATTCACATGTAATCCAGATCTAAACATTTGTGTCTTTCATCACTCACGGTGGGTATTCCAGATTAGAATTGATCGCTAGCTACTTATGCTGGTTGTACATGACGACCAAATAGATTAGGTGGTCAGATTCAGTGACATGGTTCATAGTGTGTCATCATACCCCGATGGCATTGATTGTTGTTCACAATATCAATCACTGGTCCAGGCTCGGATTATTTACAGGCCTCCGTCATATAGCAGGAATATTGCCGAGTATGTTGTTCAACAACAAACAAACAATACTCCTATGATCACTATCATGTTTCTGAGCACTTCTTTGTCCATTGTAGAAGTCCAATCAGTGAACAGCAATCTTCGATGGTGTGCGATGCGGTGTACGATGCAGATGGGGAGACTCTGTGTCAGAAGACACGTCAAAATCCCCATACATCCGACTGCTCCATTTCATGCCACAAGCTGTTTGTACAGATCTCCTCCTCAGCAAACTTGCAATCCTTTTGAACCTCAGGCATCAGAAGTTATAGATGTCCGTACAGAGAGAGAGTTTTCATTGGACCACATACCAGGTGCCAGGAACTTGCCAGTGCTGACACAGGCCCAGCACGTTGAAGTGGGTACTCGGTACACAGACAATGCCTTCCAGGCTAGGAAACTGGGGGCCAGATATGTCGCCAGTTGCATCAGCAAACATATTGAAAACTATTTCCAGGAGAAAGATGAAAACTATTCACCTCTAGTGTACTGCTGGCGTGGAGGTCAGAGGTCAAACAGTCTGGCGATAGTTCTGGCCGAGATTGGATTTCGTGTGTTTGTGTTGAAGGGGGGCTATAAGTCATACCGGCACATTGTCACCCGGGATCTCGACATCCTTCCAAGGGAGATGAACTTCAGGGTTATAACAGGTTGGTTTTCTCATTTTTGTATGAATCCTGTGGATTTATGCTGACAATAGTTTTGTTTGAGAAAGTCAATGACCTCAGATGGCTTTTTAAACTTTTTGTAATCAACAGTTTTGATGGCATAATCATGTGATGCTCTAAATCTATATTTTATTATTTAATTATTCAGTGTCATTAAATGATTCTTTATCTGGCCCCATTCAATAATACTTTTGTAGTGCTAAGTGTACCTCACACTTTATCATAGACTTATGACTGCTATAGCTCTATAGCTCTGTGATTGCTGTCTGGAACATGGCCCTGTTTTTTATTTCCATGGTGGAAAGTGTGAGAAGAGTAATTTTCAAATTTATCCTATCTCACACTATGCATTTCTTCCTCTTCTTTTGATTCTTATGTGGAAAAGTGCTAGAATAAAGTTTCCAGCTTCTAAAAACATTTCACATTTCTTGTAATGATGTCCTATGTGAAGCCACATGACTCATGTTATACCCCATATCATGTTACATGTGACTAGCGTAAAGGGTCCAGATGCCTGTTATGATATTTTTACCCATTTACGAGTTTTTGTCTTCACGACACTTGACAGTGTTATGGCGGATATTGATTGTATCACTGTTTAGCAACAGCTTCCTTGTATCTGTGGCCCACCGTCCAGCCATGGGATCAATGCGTAGTGTGAGGTGGGATAAGTTTCCTTGTATCTGTGGCCCACCGTCCAGCCATGGGATCAATGCGTAGTGTGAGGTGGGATAAGCTTCCTTGTATCTGTGGCCCACCGTCCAGCCATGGGATCAATGCGTAGTGTGAGGTGGGATAAGTTTAAATAGTTGTACATTTTACATTAAATTATGTAGTTATAATACTTATCCTACCTCACATTAACCCCCTATCCCCCCACTCCATTCCTGCATCACAGTTCCTCTAGCCTGAAGAGGCTAAGAGAAAGAGAATGATGCAGGTGATTAGTTCGTGATAGATCACAACAATGCGTGATCCATTTGTTTGGGTGGTGACCATGGTGATGCTGGGATGTGTTCAGGTGAAATGTTTTTAGAAGCTTGAAACTTTATTCAAGCACATTTCCTTAAAATGATCGAAAAGAAGAAGGAAGAAATGTATGTTGTGAAATGGGATAATTATCATAAATATACAATTTAATGTAAAATTTACAATTTCTGGTGTCCCTGCTGTGATATGCTTGAATATTGTGAAAACGCTTCTTTCTTTATTCTCAAAGTTTCATCACTATGGGACATCTTGTGATTTGTCAAAAAACAAACATTAAATAAAATAAACATCTGGTTCTTGTTTTCCTATGAGGATGAAAGTGAAGTGGTTGATTCACACTGACTTATAATAACTATGACCATTTCAGGTTTAACAGGAAGTGGCAAGACTTTTCTCCTTCACCAGTTATCAGAACGAGGCCAACAAGTCCTTGACCTTGAAGGTTTAGCTTGCCACAAGGGGTCCACCCTCGGTCTGTGGCACAACCACACCCAGCCCTCTCAGAAGATGTGGGAGTCCCTCCTTCGGGACAAGATGTCTCAGCTGGACAGCACCAAGCCTGTGTGGGTGGAGTCTGAGAGTAGGCGGATTGGCAGAGTTACCATCCCAGGAACACTATTTGACAAAATGGGTGAAGGACAGAGATACGAAGTGAATTTACCCATGTCCGAACGTGTTCGGCACATCATTAAGGATTATCCTCACTGGATATCTGATGTGGAGAAACTGAAAACGACACTTGCACCTTTAGCGAGATTTGTTGGGAAGAAGAAGGTGTACGACTGGTATGATTTATTAGCACATGATCGGTTCGAAGAATTTGTGGAGAGTATCTTACGTGATCACTATGATCCAACCTATACCAAGTCTCAAGCTAAAGCTCTGACAAGATCCACATGTGATGTAAAACAGTTTCACTTAGAAAATATACAAGAATCTGCTGTAGACCAATTTATTGATCATATAATTGACTCTTGAGTAATTAAACCTTCTGAAAAGCTATTTTAAACTTCTTAATCATGGTGATAATGTGACCTATTTCATTGTGATATAAGAAATTTAGAAGTGAATAAACAAGAATATAAAACCAAGATTACCTCGACTTTCTTCATCTCTGCCACATTAAGGCAGTAATCAACTGGAACAACGATTAAAGCAAGCACATATTCACAAAATATTTTACTTGGCAATTTACTGTATTATCAGGGAGATGTATGCCAAATATAGTTCATTTAGTATTCTCAATGCATAACATTTAATGTTTGTGAGCAAGGTTTGATGTGACCAACCAAAAATGACAGATGTGACAAAGCTAAAAACATATGAATGGACGACCGGCATCTGATGATGTCAGATGTTATGCATTACTTCGTCTGCTATGTGAAGACACATTTCCACTGTGATTACCTAAGGGACCGGTCATTTAATTATTACTCTGTGTGTGTGCGTTTAGAGGTTTCTGAGCCACCAGTGTACTCTAAATAATGACCTTCCCCTGATGCTAGTCATATGACCCTCCCCTAATGCTAACCATATTTTTGGATGACCCTCCCTAAATTATTCACATGATCCCCCTGAAAAGACAACATGCAAATGCACTTATTATTTTATAATAAAATGTCCATTTTTTCATGACCCTCCCCAAATATGAGTTTTTTAAGTCCCTTCCCTGATTCCCTCTGACCCTGCTTATAATAAATGTCTGGGCCCTAAACACACATATCTCCTGAGTCCACCTGAACACACATCTCCACTGTGCCTTCTGAAACACACATCTCCATGCAAATAATACCATACAGCTGCTTTTTCACAGCTGAAATATATGAAAATTCCACTTACAAACAGCTGGGGATGTAAGGCAGTTGATGTATGTGAGTCGGATAACTCTGACATTATAAGGACAGTATATTCTGGGGTTGAATGTTTTATTCAAATATGATAAATACAGTCAAAAGTAGAAAGTCTCCAAGCATGCGGGATGACTTGCAAGTAGCTGCGTTACGATGGCCCCTGAATAGAAAGATAAATATATATTAGGAAAAATGACAATGACCCAGACCAACGTGACTTAGCAAAGGTGTTTTGTGAAATTTTGTGAAAGGAATTCTTCCTTGTCGTAAAAATAGTTGTGAAAGGAATTCTCCCTTGTCGTAAAAACAGTTGTGAAAGGAATTCTCCCAGGTGTGGTGTATTCCTGGGCCGTCGTTGATAAAAAAAACTAGTTCCTGAAAAGTGGTGTATGGAACAGTATCTTGAATTATCCAGCGGCTGTTATTTGTCTAAACTGTCTATATTCGCTATGCGGTATTGTGCGAAACTTTGCACTATTTTCTCTTTTCTGGGAACCACCTTGAAATTCTCTTAAACATCTATTTGTTCCAAGAAATATTTAAACGTGTATAAAGAATTCCATGAGTAACACAGCTTTGTGCCTTAGACCATGAGAGTGTAGGAGCAATGTTTTGTCCTTTATGACACCACTTTTCATAAGAGCGGAGTCGACCACCTTTCCGCAATACCAATATCTACTTTGTCTTACTCAGATATAGTCTCATACCAGTACTAACACAAAAATCTTCAACTACATTAATTGTCCTTTCTAATTGAATTGCCAGATACTCTAGATACAGTGTACATCAACTGCACATCAAAGAGCTGAAACACTGGGGTAGTCGGAGGAGACGAAGATACCATTTACACCATTTATATCCAACATATTAAACAACTGTTTTATAAAATGGTTATTATTGGTGGTGTAAAGTGCAACCCTGGCGGATGTCAATATTACACCCAATGTAATCAGTTAATCCATTGCCTGTTCTAACACAAGAAGATAGATAAGAATTAATACAACAAAATTTAGAAATTTTGCCCTCCTGATACCAATATTAATAAACCTCTGGAATAGAACCTTATCATTGACAAGATCAAATGCATTTGCAAAATCGATAAAAACTAAATAAAATCTTCCTACGGAAGCCTTTTAGGGCCATTTGTTTTTTTGTTTTTTTCAATACTATCTTGAAATTTCAAGATTCTAAGTTGAAATTTTAAGATACTAAGTTGAAATTTCAAGATATTAAGTTGAAATTTCAAGATACTAAGTTGAAATTTCAAGATACTATCGAAATTTTTTTTAAAAACAAATGGCCCTAAAAGGCTTCCGTATCTTCCCCTTTTTTCAGATAAATATTTTTGGATCATGGCCTGCAAATCTGGTCAACATTTTGGCCGAAAAACTGGCTTGCATTTCAGATAACATGTTCTTTATCATAACATCACACCACAACTCCCGTCTTTTCTTGAATACAACACAGTATTTTACAAAATGAGTCAATAAGGGATATTCCTCTATTACTATTAGGCTCTTTGATATTTCCTGCCTTGTGCAGTCGGCAAATAATACTGTTTCCCCACTGGGGAGGGAATGTAGATGGTCAATAGAGGTTATCACGCGAGTGTGTTTGGGGATGGTAAATATCCTGCGTTAGGAATAAACATTGTATTTAGCGAGCCTTGGCGAGCGAAATACATAGTGTTTATTCCTAATACAGGATATTTACCATCCCCAAACACACAAGCGTGATAACCTCTTTATCATATAATGTCATTCTTTAATTCTGTGCTTCAAAATCGCTTTCCCTCTCTCACAAACATTACCGAAACATTGCGAGTTTTCTTGCAATGCGCGCATTAATATTTATTACGTCACAGTGTAAGTGATGTGTCAGTCAGACAGTGACAGTAGCCAATATAGTTCCAACTGAAATCTCTTTCTTATACAGTGGCGAAGCAACTTATTCGCAAAACAACAATTGTTTTTAATTGCCTTTTGCGGCAATCCATCGGTCTGTCCGCTAGAGTAACTGCCCTTTGTCAAAGGGAAGCTACTCTAACCCTAGTCTATGAGATGTCACGGCCACGGTCAAACGTTGTTGACAGTCGGTCTGTCCTGTCATAACGATAAGAAGTGTAGTCAGATGTTCACATAGCGACAAAACGAAACAAGGTAACAATTCAAACATATTTCGGCCAAATCCAACTATTTTAATTTGTTGAGAAGGTTTCAAGCCGCAGAGGTCTACAAGCACAGATATGGCTACTGATCCCGCTTGGCTACGCCTGGTGCCCTCGCAAAATTGTTTCGAAATTTATATCTCCAAAGTTGCCAAAACTTATAAAATGCCTTAGCTGCGTCACAGTTAGACACAGGTTTTCAGTATATTAGACTGTTCTTTTGATAATGATAGCAATTATCCCTGTAGTTTATCCAGATTCCCGATGGTTAATTCTGACTCGATCGCCGAATGACGTGTGCGACGCCATGTTTGTTTATAAACAGTGAAAGTAGTCCCTACTTGACCTGTGATATTTGCATCTCTTTCCGCATATGACCCCAACGGAAATCGTTTTTATCCGTTGGCTTTATCCTGCCGAGAAACCTATCCATTATATGATAAAACAGTTTATTAAGCAGTTTTCTTCGAGTTGGTGTACAGTTCTTTGTTACTTGCAGCCATTCGCATTGAAGACCATCAGGTCCAGGAGTCCTTTTTGATTTCAACACCTTCAAACAAGAATATATTTCTTCCTAAAATGTTCTGTCAGATGGAGATACAAATTAATGTAAATCATAGTTGAATAATCAAAATACAGTGTCCCTGATATACAGAATAATATAAAAATGGTTACACCGCTGTTCAACGGATATATTCATGGTGATTTTACGAATGCTTCACCCTCCTTTAACCCTCTGGATGCCGAGTTTTTTTTCTGACGCACATTTTCCTAAGATCGGAAAAGTGAAGTTTGTGCGAGAATTGCGCTCACGCGGCACTGGATCTACCTCTGGCTATAAAATTACGCAGAGGTGGAGAATATTAAATTTCCTATTTGATGGTGTTAAGTTAACTGCAAATATTAAACCGGTTTGAAAGAAATACGCTTCTAAGTGTTGTCCGAGAATTTATTCTGCGTTGAAAAACAGTAAATTTCTCAGCTTTTTATCGTACATCGATAAAAGTACTGTGCGACGATTTTTTTTTATTTCGAAGCTTTACGGAAACTGTCTGCGAACAAAATACTGCCTAATATCTGAACGACATAACTATATATCAAATGGAGTTATATGCGTATGTGTAACGACATACATTCAATGCCAAAAATAGCATGCCGTAAATGACGAAAACTGATTTTTCTCTATGACGTCAAAAGGCGACCGAGAGGTTACACGCGTACAAAGAAAAGGGGGCATAACTCCGCTGTGCTTAGCACTAGGTTATTGTAACTCAGGTCAATTGGTGAGAATTAGCTGTGGGTAAGGACAATGTATTTTCGTTGTGTTTCGTTCTCGAGGAACCAAACTATTCCAACACAAATATCGATATTGAAACTGTTTACGTTTTCCTATAAATAAAACCCACAAGAAATGATGAAATCGTACTTCATAAAAAAGAGGTAATAGAAAAATGGATGGCCCTATCTAACCTATAACTTAGTCCTTATATTCCAACATTCTCCTGAGTGTGTAAGTGTAATTTGACTTATGGTGCACCATTATTAATGGAGCACTAGCTTTATCATCAAATGTAATGACATACCCCAAAATAACACCATTCCTTTTGACGTCATGGCTGGTTTTATGTCTTTGATAACGTCGGAGAAAGACGACACTGGTATTTTGATTTATATATATCTCCCATAATTTTCGTTCATGGTTTGGAAAATCTCGATGTGTAAAACGGAATTTGACGCTTTTTCGACACAACATAAAATTACTGCTTTCACCAAGTAAATAATGTCTTGAATATGTAAACAATTAGATAGTTTGTCGTGTATCTTAATTGGACAGGACACGCACCTGTTTGGCATCAATTAACGTTATGAAATTCACAAAAGAATATTTCAAAACAAACAAAATTATATTCAGTATTGGACGTATATTTGTTCATTATCATGTTAGTATTTCTCTTCATCTCGTCTCAGAATGAAACAATAAAAGATACGAAGAAAGCACTATCATATTGGTATAGAATAGGATATAGGATAATCGTATAAGGTTGAACCAACGGGGTATCTGGCATGGATTTTATTTTATACATTTTAAGATTTCTGGAGAAATTAAGTAAACAGTTTAATATCCCGTGATCACAATATTGAAAAAAGAATGAACCCATTGATTATATAATGGAAAACGAGAGGAATAATTCGTAAAATGTGTGTGACTATCGCGCACCTGGCGAATCGTTAGATATCACTGTTCTGTGTATCAAACGACATCAAAAACAGTTCCAAGACCAAGACAGTTCTTTCAGAAATGTGTGCATATATTTTACCGATTTTTTTTTTGTAAAAGTAATATATTCAGTTTTAGTTATAAAATAAAATGAAACGGCTATTCATGGACATTGCTAATATGAACTTAAAATATTGACTATTGCACATCCCAAGAAATGCGTACATGCTGCAGTTACATTTACACTTCTTGTAACACTTGTCCAAAGGAAAGAAATATCGTATGCGACACTAAAAACCTATCAATTGTTATGTAATTAATGTTCAAACAAACAGGAGATTATCAAGGTTCCTTCATACATGTTGTGGCCGATATTTACGTATGATATCATTTTTAACATTGACAAATGTCCAAAGTGAAATTAGAATCTAATTGTGTGAAAAAATGTATAAAAGATATGCAAAATCTGCATCATAACTGAAACTGTAAACAGCATGGTACAATGATCGTGTGCACTCTCATTCAAAGACCTTCACCTCAAAGAAATTACCAAATATGTACAACAATGTTGACGTATGACATCACTACCTGTGACCGAATTTTACAAAATGGCGTGTTCACTGTCAACAGTACGTATTTACATCGTATTTACATAAATGTGACATGTAAGTAATCAGAAACATTCTGACAATCTATGTACTGTTATTTGTTGTTATAATTTTCATTGAAACAAACCGAAATAGTCAGAAATTCCGATAAATACCGTTGTCGTTGTGCGTGATTTTGCGTCAGTCATGGCGTCACACAGGACGGTAACTTTGCATTGATTTGATATTTTCAACAGAAGTTGTCAATGTATCTATTTTAAATTCCCTATTTCTTCCTACGATTCTCTTCCCATGACCATTCTGCAAATGTGGAGCCAATATTTTGAACGAATAGACGAATGGATAGCTCAAAATAGGAGAAAATGCTACAGTGTGTAAAATCTGTATTTTGCTTTGTTTACACTTCAAACAAGTGCAGTGTTTCGAGCACAGCGTTCGTTTTCACACCTGACTTATATTGCTTGATTTCATCCAGCCACTTCGTATTTGTGACAAAGACCATTGTTCATTCGATTCTAAAATGTATGAGGAATTCAAGGATGTGTGTATCGCAGCAAAGTTTGGAATATACGGGATGTTACAGGCGCCTCATAACCGGTGTACATGAAACGTGATTTTGTAAACACTATCCAATATGGCGGAAAGTTCACTTCGGCGTTCGTGTTTGCGTATTTTCCAAAACATTCTAAACAATTCTATGGTTATCGGAGACGTTTTTGAATGATCATTGGTGATTTCATAAAGGACAGATACCCGTGATCACTAATATGCTATTTTTGAAATTCATTTCTCGGAGTAAATATCCGAAATTTAGATTCCAGAACATGCTGTAAATAACGCGGCGAGTGGTGATTTAGTAATGTGTAAAACATGGCGACATTTACGAAGTACCTAATTTTCAGAGGTCATTTTTTGTACTTTTGCTTGGCCTAAAGAGCCAATGAATAATATCACAGAACAGGGAATCTCCCACCTTATTCAAAACTGTGATGTGTATTAGTGTGCATGATGTATGTTGAATATTATTCGACTTCAAAGTGAGGGTTGTAGAGGAAGGACATATATGTCCCTCTGGCATCCAGGGGGTTAAGGATTCCATTCCCCCCCCCCCCCCCCCCCCCCCCCCAAACATACCAGGGATCCTTTCTTGAATTTATTAAACAGTTCTTTGTTGCTAAAATTAAACTTCATTTTCCTGAAAAATAGCTTCTTGAAATCATTTCGAAGCCTTCTGTAAGTATCAAAGCTAGTACCGATAGCTAATGATCTCAAACAGGACATCGCCGAGGTCTAACAAACAGGTTATGGTATTGTGGTCAACAACATGATGACGTCATCAGAGGTTTATCAGTGTGTTTATAGATGTTATAGACGTACAGTCACTAATTTAGGCATAGGAGTTAAAATTGAAACATTCACACATTTGGCTATTATGTAGCTTTAATTCTGGAGGCTCATCTAAATTTGTATCCACTTTGAGTGTTTTGTACACCCGGTGTAACGATAGCATGCGATCTGTGACATGAAACACTGTTAGTTTTTAAGGTCTGTCAATCTCCCAGACCAAGTATCATTTGATTTACTGAGAAACTGACTGCATTTCTACGTTTGTTTAACATGACACCTGCGTTGGCACTAAAACTTTGGATTTTCCCCGATTTTCTCCAGGCCTCAGGGGGGAGCACGGGTGGCCCAGTCGTCTGTGGCGCCGCGATTCGCTGTGCAGAGTTGCGTCCTTTGGGCACGCCAGAACCCTATGATTGTGGGTTCGAATCCCGGTTCGCCCCGATTATGTTTCCAGGTTTGTCAGCACCATACCCGTTCTCGTGGGTTTCACCGAAGTGGTAAACGTCTGAGACCTGCATCACTTCGGTCTTTCCTCCCACATTAAGCTGACACGCCGCGATATAACTGGAATACTGTTAAAAGCGGCGTTAAACCCAACTCACTCACTCTCACTCCAGGCCTCAGGGGCTCAACCGCCTCCGTGGTCTAGTGGTAGAGCGTCTGCCAGGAGAGCGGAAGGTCCGGGGTTCGATCCCCATGCAGCCGCGTCATACCAAAAGACGTTAAAAGATGGTACTTGTTGTTACGCTGTCTGGCGCTCGGCATTAAGGGGCTAAAACAAGGACTGGTCGGCTCAGAGTCAGTATATTATGTCTGACTGAGGTATTCATGTTTATCATATAATGGGTAGGTTTCTCGGCAGGATAAAGCCAACGGATAAAAACGATATCCGTTGGGGTCATATGCGGAAAGAGATGCAAATATCACAGGTCAAGTAGGGACTACTTTCACTGTTTATAAACAAACATGGCGTCGCCCTCGTTATTCGGCGATCGAGTCAGATTTAACCACCGGGAATCTGGATAAACTACAGAGATAATTGCTTTCATTATCAAAAGAACAGTCTAATATACTAAAAATCAGTGTCTTACTGTGACGTAGCTAAGGCATTTTATACGTTTTGGCAACTTTGGAGATATAAATTTCGACACAATTTTGAGAGGGCACGAGGCCTAGCCAAGCGGGATCAGTAGCCATATCTGTGCTTGTAGACCTGCTGCTTGAACCTTTCTCCACAAATTAAAATAGTTGGATTTGGCCGAAATATGTTTGAATTGTTTCCCTGTTTCGTTTTGTCGCTTTGTGTACATCTGACTACACTTCTTAACGTTATGACAGGACAGACCGACTGTCAACAAAGTCTGACAGTGGCCGTGACGTCTCATAGACTAGGGTTAGAGTAACTTCCCTTTGACAAAGGGCAGTTACTCTAGCAGGCAGACCGATGGTTGCCGCGAAAGGCAATTAAAAACAATTGTTGTTTTGCGAATAAGTTGCTTCGCCACTGTATAAGAAAGAGATTTCAGTTGTAACTATATTGGCTACTGTCACTGTCCGATTGACACATCACTTACCATGTGACGTAATAAATATTAATGCGCGCATTCCAGGAAAACTCGCAATGTTTCGGTAATGTTTGTGAGAGAGGGAAAGCGATTTTGAAGAACAGAATTAAAGAATGACATTATATGATAAAGAGGTTATCACGCTTGTGTGTTTGGGGATGGTAAATATCCTGTATTAGGAATAAACACTATGTATTTAGCTCGCCAAGGCTCGCTAAATACAATGTTTATTCCTAATGCAGGATATTTACCATTCCCAAACACACTCGCGTGATAACCTCTATTAAACTGCGGCATGGTATCTCAGTGAGCTAGCACTATAAATCGGCATCAGTCCGGACTAGTACAAGCAGCCACACACACGCACACGCACACGCACACGCACACGCACACTCACACATACACGTGCATGCACGTCGCTATATAAGTGCAATAATCTTGGACACGACGTTAAACCCCATTCACCTCACCTCAGGGGCTCCGTTCTGTCAAGCCATGACTTTCCAAAATACGTATGGAAGCTGAAAATCAAAAATTGTGACAACGTCTTGAAACTCGACAGGCGGGTTGGATTTTTCCCGATTTTCTCCAGGCCTCAGGGTCTCCGTTCTGTCAAGCCACTGTCGTCGGTGTCTTAGGTTTGGTACCCCAATCTGTTGACTGACATTGGGAGAATACCCGGGTTTGCTACAAGGAATACAGCCCTTCTGACAATCTGGGTAATGCAGAAGGCTGCAGAGTTGGGGAGTCATCACATTCTCCGAAAAGTTGTGGGTTGGTTTGATTAGGCAGCGCTTCCTGGGAGAAGTCCCATTCGCTGTTTGGGCTGCGTGTAGAGGGGGCAAAGGCCATGAACTGATGATGAGCCTAACCAGCCTGTCTGTGCCAGGATCAACCAAACCCTCTTTGCTGCATTTTTATTTTTATTTTAATCCGTACATACTACTACAACTAATAATAATATATAAAATACATTTGGTTGATGGTATAATTATAAGCTAAATATACGCAGCGAAACCTTCTGTGAATACAGGTGAATTAAACATAATTATGTTTGAAAGAGGATGTTAGAAAAGTAGAGTAACGACTAAGTATTATCTTAATTACTTGAATATGATATACAAATGCTGAGAAAAGTAAAGAGAATGCGGATCCCGTGCCCTTATGTGTAAATAATATGAAAATTAATTCCAATAATCATAAAACTCGGTTCTCGGTGATGAACGATTCTGTTTGTTCCTCATCGTTTGAGCCACTTGGTCCTTTCACCGGGGCATCTGATGTGTCAGCAAACCTTCCTGAAGTCTGAAAGAAAAACAGAGAAGCACATGTTGAAGCCTAGGTTCATAACTACGAGCCAACATAAAGTCCCTGGTATTAGGACAGGATGCATGGGTCACATGCTAGTCATTTATTTGTTTGTTGTTGCTGCAGTGAGCAATATTAAAATAAAGCCCTGGAAATACTCGAATAACCAGACGAACCAGTTACTGACAGAATGTACTACGTCCGAAGCCTCGGATACGATGACACGTAGCAGAACCTGAGTAAAGTATCCAATCCGTTACGTTTGGTGTTTGATTGATGTCTACCATAGACTTTATATGGAATGACTTAACCAGGCCCCAGATGACGAAGCCTTAAAGTTTAGTCATAAGCGAAATGTGGCTTTCCATGAAATTTGAATACATGTTACATGATTTAAAGTACCTAAACAGTTGAGAAATGAAGACGTCATAAGTTGGTACTAACGGTATATTTCCTAGCATGACGATGGAATTCACGATTAGAAAATCAAAATCATCCCGTTATCCAGATTGGTATTGTTGAATTTCTTTGCACAGGTCTACATAAGAAGCTGAATACGATTTCACAGAACTTTGTTTCCTTGATTTTCATCTCTGAAGGATCAGATTAGGTGAATTGTACATATAAGGTAGAGTAGTTGGTACCCATTTCACAAGGTTATAATTCTGCGACCTAGGGTTCTGGCTTATGATACTGACCATCACAAGTTCTTCTTCCGGCTCACTCCTCCAGAAGAAGAATTTTCTGACGTAGAGAGGGTTAACTCCATCCTTGTTTCCACCTGCAGTATTCAGTCAAAAAGTGTGTTTCACAGCGATGTTTTGATTCGTTTTCCCTTCGAATTTATATGGTGTTCAATTGAATATGTTCTACGAACGTATATAAAATGAAACATATCAGTATAGGACTAGAATGATATTCAGCCTGGAAGGGTGAAGATAGTATATTAGTTGTTCATATTGGCATTTACCTGTGGCCAGACTGAGGACAACGCCCACCACCTGCACGATGAGGAATCCAAACACATGGTACAGAACGTAAGAGAGGCTGTAGAAGGCGTCAAGACCTGACCTGGCAGGAAATCATAGATTGTTTAATAACCAGACTGGCAGAAAGAAAACATTGAATATGTAATCATTAGGGGCGAATTTCATGAGGTGATACCTCTCAGGGTGGAGACGTATTTGACTTCATCCTACTTATTATCATAACAAACGTAATTACTCTTTTCAAAACAAAATCTCAACAATTCAAGATACTTTTTTATGTTACTCATAATCAGCTGACGTATAAATTGTGAAAGGTATTAACCATCATATATATTGTATGTTTGTTTGTTTGTTTAACAAAGCAAATCGCCGAGAGCGTTACCCAGTATAATGGCATAGATTCATCACTGGTTGAGTTCTGTTCAGGGATTAACCATCATATATACTCAGCAGAACAAAATCCAGGTAGTAAAATCGTAAATATGTCAGTGTTGCCGACATCCATACAAAATTAATACCAAAAATGAATTGGACATTTCTGAATGGACATGGATTGATTTGTTTTGAAAGAATGAGATACTGCTAAAATGAGGTGAAACGATGGACAAATCGCAAAACCCCAACCACATGACAGCCTGGCGCTGAAACACACCAATCTGATATGCAGGTTCAATATCACTTGTTGGGCTATGAAAATGTTTGGTTTTCATTTGCATGCTATCACAATCTTACAGCAAGTAAACAGCGAAACATGCCACGTCTCACGGAAGCCAACACAACAACGCCATTGGCCGACTGCAAACAGGAGAATCATATTCAGCTGTGAGATTCTTTGGCCACACGTCCTTCCGAGCGAACGTCATTTTCACGTTATGTCCTGCCATGACCCTCCACGTCTCCAGATTTAAACCCAATCGAATATTTGCACTGGATCAACTACTGCGAGCACGCCAGCAAACAATCACAGAACCTCTGGATGTTGGCAGCACTACAGGGAGGGTGGGTGAATATTCCCCAGGCCACAAGTCTGGATCTGATTGCTCCCATGGGACGACGGTGCTATTCAGTTTTGGACTCGAATGGTGGAAATAGAAGACATTGAGAACAGATGACCTTCACCATGAACATCTACAGTTCCATGTGTGCCATGTGGAACCTAGGACAATGACAACGGTGTGTGACATTTTTGCAGAGTATACATTGTTTGTTTCTTTGTTTAACATAGCAAAATGCGTTACCCCGTATATTGGTGCAGATCATCACTGGTTGAGTTCAGTGTCGTCATGGTGTATGGCAGAGTGAGGTTGACATTCGGGCAGTGATCAGTCGGGCCAGGTGGTAGAGGGGGCGTCTTCCTCACCCCTGGGGAAATACTAGCTCCTACCACCAGCCACGTCAGGAAGCTGATCCCAACCAGCAGTGCAACAAAAGCGCTCTAGGGAGAGAGGATGGATACTATATATATTAATACAAGCTAAGCTAGCCGATTTAATCCGACTGTTGTTACAATTGAAGATAGTTTATGTTCGATATGTTCAGTTTACTTTCAGCCTTCTGCCAAGCCATCAGTGCAGCAAAGACAGTCCAAGAGAGGATAGACACATTCTGTAAGATTTCTAAGACAAACTCTTCCACTCAATTCGTCATTAGAAACAGGAACACATGCATATTTTGGTAACGTTCTAGTCCTCCACATATGCGATGCATGGACAGTCAAGCAAAGTGTATATATCTCATCTGCAACAGGAACACAGAACACACCATACTGTGCCATGCTTACATATTTGTTGTATTCAATTTTGCAAAAGTGTACAGCAACAACGTCAATACCAATTTTGCACATGAGCTACAGACCTCGGAGATAACCTGAAAGGTAGAAATACACCATGGTGCTCGAAAAAAATGTGAACATGAGGTTCATGTATTAAACGAATGTGGTGATGAGCCAGATCTGTACGTCATTCGTGTCTCTTGATTAAAGTATCTCACGAAAATCAGATCCTTTACCCAAATAAGATACCTCTGCGTCACAAACTGAGGACAACTCCAGGAGGTTGAGTCAGGTGACGTTTTTTAATCAGCAATTAGCCTCAATGCTTATACATTCTCAGTACGGTTGAGAAAAGGCTTCAGACAAGCATATCTGATATCTGTATCTCAAAAAAGAATATACTAGTATTTGGGCAGTTCGAATAGTTTCTGATCGTCACGACATCTACTCCCACAGGGTTTACTTGGGATTGAAAGTTGTGTTTTGCTGAGATCGAAAATTCAGAAGCGAGGCAGTTGAGACATGACGTTTATTTTTTCAGAAATCCGACCTCTGATTGGCCGAAGAACCGATGCTTCCTTCATTTTGTTTGGGTGATCAAAGTTTGCTCACTGTTCATTTAACGCGACCTTCTGTGAATGTGTGATCACACAGAGAGGAATCGCATATCAGAGTAATTATGATAGTCCAGCAAGGAAGCGTGTCCTACTCGCGGCTGTCCATACAAGGGTTATCGGAATACCAGACTGCCAAACAGTAGAGGACGACAAAGGACTAATTAGGAGAAAATCACGGTGCCACATTTATGGGATATTTGGAGATAGATGAAGTGTTAATTGATGGCACAGTCTAGGTTACTTTCATAATATGTAAAGAAGCGAAGTAGACGAGAAATAGTATGTCATAAGATATATAGAAACTAGGTCTTGTAAACACAGAACCAGCATTTCACCACCATATCCTAAAACATGCAAAGTCATAAAATACTACAATTACATTCCAGTTCAAAATCATTTTGTCTAGACCTTTACCTTTATCAAGGCAACTCCTTAAGAATCAACAATTGCCAATTCTCAGGATCGTAAAGTAAAAGTGAAACAATAGCTGGCAATGAATGATACACCCGTCTTTCACAATAGTCTCAAAGGTGAAAATGACCTTTGATAAACATGGCATCAACATTATATATGTTAGGATTTGTAAATATACATGCAAACATAAATTGTTATCTCTGTAGATGACACCCGAGAAGATCCGGATTAAAATTGGTCTTCAGAGTCATATAGCTGGAATATTGCGTTAAACAACAAACAATAAACAAGAAACTGTGTAGATGTAATCATGCATCAGAAACTAACAATGTTATAATCATGTTTTACTAGAACCTGTATGCTGACCACATATTTACAGTTTCGGTGCATTGATGTGGGCAAATCAGCAATGTATACATACTCTTGTATTGACAAACGGGAATATGGCACCGAGGTAGAACACGCCGAACATTGGCCCAGCAATGATTGCGTTGGCGCTGTAATATATCTGAAACAAAGTTCCTCCTTGTCTTTATTCAAAGCCAAACTTAAAAAAATGAAAATATGTAAATGATTAAATCAAATATAATTCAACACTCTCAGACAGATAATGGCCCTGAAACCTTTTCACCTGGAGTAGGAAGATGAAAAAAGTGATGGACTAATTATCAATACACTATTTAACAATATTACTTCAATACGTTGAGAGAAAAATAATGCGCTTTATCCTGTTATCACCTGAAGTAGGGGGATGGATTTTATGGATGACACGCATATCGCCACGCAACAAATAGCAACACCCCACGCCACCACTGAAAAAAGAAGCAGACATACGAGCGATCATAACATTTAGGTATATCAAAATATGCTACCGACAGAAATAAGGGAAATAATGCCTTGACTGAAGCAACCGTTTAGGTGTACATTTACAATTGTGGCACGATAGAGGTGGGGAACGTCTATATCCCAAGTTGCCCGAACGTAAGGAACATGTTGTTTTTCAGGTGAACATTTGACTTGTGTTTGCGACGGGTGCCAACGATGGGGCAGGATACACTCATCTTTTAGTTAAATGAAGTGATTCATAAACATATGCTAATGTACTAATGGAAAAAGTAACTGTGCTTCATATAAAGTGATGTAAATGCTATGTTATTGAACATAACAACATAATATTTGGTTATTCGTCTGATCAATGTTTCCTCATAACAAATTCATTGACAAACCCATACCAGGTAACAGGAGACAGAGTGACACGCCCTAAAAGATGGGTACTGTAACCACTCTATTAACAATGTCAACATGGAGTGTGACCACTATTTGCGTTCATATAGGCGAGGCGGTGGCGGCGCACTACACACACAAGATGACGGAAAACAGCCTGGGGGATGTTAATCCAAATATCAACCAAAGATCTGCACGAATGAGATGGCGTTATGAGCTAATTCTGGTCCCGCTGTAAGCGTCGTTCCATCTCATTTTAGACATGTTCTATGGGGGAGTGGTCATCCGGCAGTATAGCAGTGATATGCTGCCTCAAAAAGTATGTTAATACACCCGCAACGTGAGGGCGGGCATTATCCTGCTGCAACGTGACGCTACGTCCCTTTATTTGCACAATCTAACGATGCCGTCCTGGAGGCATACGTCATTCAAATTGCCATTAACGATGATGAGTTGTGTTCTCCTGTGAGTTGTGATGAACCCCATACCTTTTAACTTCCACCCCCAAACTCACGACGTTGAGTAATGCAAGCTTCGCAAAAACGTTATCCTGGACACCGATAGATCCTTGCACAACCACCATTGCTGTCCAAATAAAACATAGACTCGTCTGTGAACAGTATACTGTCCCATCTTGTATTCTGTACCCCCGATGCTGTCTACAACAAGCTAAGTGTGCCTGACGGTGACATGGAGACACTGGGCGTGTGGCAGGTCATAGAGGCCTGATGTTGTGCTCCCTCAATCAATTGAGTACGGTCCTGCCACTGATTGGTCTCAACCAAGAAATTGTCCGAGCTGTTAATGTGGCAGTTTGGTATCAATTCCGTGGATGCACCATCCGAATATGGTTGTCTTGTTGAAATGATGCCACCTGTGGGCGACCGGCCGTGACAAGTCATGAATGATGCCCTGCTATACATAACGTCTCAAAAGAGACAATATGTGTTTCAATGAACATTAACATGTCTGGCAACATGCATCTCCAACAACAGATCATAACATCCAACTCAGACTGTGTGTCCTTGAATTCAAAATATAATTCAGAAGCAATAACTCGTTTAACTCTGTTATACCTGAGACTTTGGCAACAGCCATTTGTTTGAACTCCGACATTGCAGAAACACGTGGTTTTACGAAATCCTCCCATGTTATATTCGCGAGGGCAGATAGTCCTGATGATAATGAGCTGAAAAATAACAGTAATTAAGTTTATTAATTCCAGGTCAAGTAAAAGTGTATGTGGTTGTACACTTAACGTGTGCACATTCCGACAGCCATAGATATCGCTGATAGACAGATACAGGTTACATGGATATGGTTATTTATTTACACGTTACAGGATACGCTCACCTTTCTGCAAACATCGGATATCATGACTATTTCATAAACACATACCTATGATGTAGTAGGAATCGTACAATGGACTTTGCTTTTATTTATTATTATCTTACTTTATATGCAATACTTGAATTTTAAATAAAGGAAATATCATACCCAGGCATTTTGGCACCTCAATATCCATTTGTTTTCAAATTATGAAAAGTGATAAGCAAGGTGGTAAAATATATTCGTTGTAAGCTTATCCATCTGTGAATACGACATCATACACCCTCTGTGTGGCCGTGTAGCAGGTCGCTATGATCCTATAACCCATGTCACCAAAACTGACCTGAGAGACGCACTGTAGAGTGCTGCAAGAAACAGTCCTGGCATTCCTGGCATGCTTCGGAAAATGTCGATCGTCATGAAAGGTAATACCTAGGGAAGAGAGATAGAGAGAGAGTGAATGGAAGAGAAAGAGGGCAAGTCAAATGTGTTTCACTCAGCACTTTCTTTCTCAGTTTTAAATATATCGTCACAGTTTCGGTGAACATTGGCAACAATTTTCGAGTCTACACATTAACATAGATCTTTAAATATTTGCGAAAGAACTACGTGGATCCATTCTTTATGCTGTTCTTCTTTATTCAACATATACACAAAGAAACAGGTTAAGCACACCCTCATATATTTCATTATTGTTTGGTCCCAATATGTGTAACAGTCATGAAATATATAATTGCGTGAAGAATTGTGTTTCCTCGAGATGATGTAATCATCCATGCATGAAGAAAGCTCATTGCACGAAGGCGATTATCAAACGCTAGAAGATGGCAAATAATCAGCATGCATAACGCAGGAATGTCTTTGGTCGGAATTTGGGGTATCATCACCCTGTCGTAAGCCGTTTAGTTGAGAAACATGCTCAAACCGGTAATGTACAGGACCGTCCCAGATCCGGAAGACCTCCTGTGACGACACATCTCAAAGACAGGGACCTTCTTCGTCCCATATGCCGAGAACCCTTTTTAACAAGTACTCGTCTGAAACAGATGTGGTTGCCCAGTCGTTGTTTCAGCACCAGAACCATCAGCAACCGGCTGAAAGCAGCAGGACTGAGGCCTAGACGAGTTATTATGTATCTCACATGATTGCAGGTTTGATTTGGTCACCATAAGGGGCATCTTAACCGGAGCTCACTACATCCGCGACGTTTTGAGGCCAGTCGTCGTTCCTCATTTTGACAACCACCCTCTTGCTACTCGACCTCAGTACATGGATGACAATGCCAGGCCTCACCGTTCGCATGTAGTCGTGGATTACATGAGGGCCAATGCAATAACGACATTACCATGGAAAGCAATGAGCCTAGATTTGAACCCCCTTGAACATGTTTGGGATATTCTGGGGTGGCGCAGACAGGCACGAGATCCCCCTGTACAAGATTTACGCCAATTGGAAGCAGCATTGCATCAGAAGTGGTTGTTGTTGACCCATCAACAGATCCAAATCTGACTGGAGGCATGAGACGTAGGGTGGAATGCGTCATCCGGGCATGTGGTGATAATACTCGCTACAGATCTGTTTCATGTGTCATGTCAAGAAGAGACTTTAAGAAACATTTTCACAAAAAACATCTAACGTAACTCGTTTACATAATCCTGCAGCTCCATACATTTTTTAGATATTGTCTAAGGTCAAAAACAGTACCTGTGTTACCATGATGGTTTTGTCAGTAAGTTTCAATCACAACTCACCAGTATCTTTTTTATTTGTTGTCAAATGTTTGTTCTATCCGATGACATTGGTATTGCCCATCTCCTGTGGTCAGTCATCCCATGACATGTTTTTTGACATTTGTCATGGTTTAGAAATAGGGGTGTTCTTAACTTTTTTCTTTGTGTATATATAAAAGGGTTTTCAGTATTTACAGCCCATGTATGACTGAATAAAAATTCGATTGTGCTGACCCACTGAACTGACGCTGTTGTGACTGTACTATTTCATGTTAAACCCTAAGGTGCTTAACCTTTGCTTTAACCAATACCTGATCACTTTTGTCGATCTGATTGGATGCTACAGGGTCGCATCTCTTGTAGTCATAGTAACCATATGCCACAAGGCCACTGATGACGCAAAGGATTCCGAATAAGGGACTGCAGATAAGGCCAAGTATCATCGCCCTTTAACATAAACATTCGGTACTGTTGTTATGGCACGTTCATCAACGTGAAGGAAGGTAGACAAATCAGCCTGATCATAACATGAGGCTGTCTTCGTACACGACCATCAGTCAAAGTAATATTCATTCCTGATATAACTAGATACTAGCATGATATAAATCCATATAAGTGTATGGATGTATGTTTAAATGGTATAATACCCCTGCATGAATGAATTAAAATGTAATGTCGCACCACCACTGTTGTTTTAATGGCACTTAATATTGCAAAAACATTAAGAAACTGTAAGCTATGAGTTGATATGTTTTAACGAGCCTGTAGCTCCTGTCTGAAGGCTGTAGCCAGAAGTCCACTCCAGTTATGATGCTGTTAGTATACAATTATCATATTATGAAAGCAAAAGAAACTGGAAACATGTGTTCATACCTTCTTGCGTCGGTGAGTGACTTCGTGGCGGCAATACGCTGAAGATAGGCAGGTCGGAAAAGAAGACCAAGTGGATTAAATATTCCGGCAAATCCTACGATCCACACAGTGTGGCGGATAGTCGGGTCAAAGTCATATCTGAAAACACAAACAAAATGTGTGGGCATTACATGATGGACATGAACCAGGCATCTTTCACCAGTAAGTGATATAGCTATGGATCACAATCCCACCTGATATGTAGGCTAACGCATTATTTCCTGTGCGAGTAGGTTCAAACAATGGTATCAGCGGTATTAGTGACTGGGCGGTAACACCACAACACAGTTGAGTGAGTGAGTTGGGTTTAACGCCGCTTTTAACAGTATTCCAGTTATAACACGGTGTGTCAGCTTAACGTTGGAGGAAAGTGATGCAGGTCTCAGATGTTTACCACTTCGGTGAAACCCACGAGCACGGGTATGGTGCTTACAAACCTAGAAACATAATCGGGGCGAACCGGGATTCGAACCCACAATCATAGGTTTCTGGCATTCCCAAGGGACGCAACTCTGCACAGCGAATCGCGGCGCCTTAGACGACTGGGCCACCCGTGCCCCCACCACAACACAGGATGCATGGTGTGTATGTATAATAAACCATGATCATAATGCTGAGTAAATTAACCAGACAAATCGGCCGATATATATTTGTTGAGATGAGTTACATGGTGACATGACTCAAACCTTTAAAACACTATACCCTCCTGCAGACCTTCCTTGGATGTTTTTCAGGTGAACAATTGACTTACCTTTACCCTGTTTTGTGATGGGTGCCACCGGAGGGGCAGGATACTCTCACCTTTTCGTGAAGACCTGATCTCATCACAATTCACACACGCTCATGATATTGTCGGAATCGTACAATCGTATGCATATGGAAAGGGTTTTGTTGCTTTTATTTATCATCCTCTAGCCACTGAGGTCATATGAAGGATAATCTCCCTCTGTCCATAACCCTGCTGCAGATCCAGCCCAAACCTCAAGCCCTATATGAAGTGTAACGGGTGATTTCAACATTAAAACCCACAGGTTAACCCATAATTCAGTTCGCAGAGGACACAATTGTAAAATCAGTAGATGACCATACAAGATCAATGATGAATCGTAGGATATATTCAAACACACCACTCTAAGTTTACAATCAAAACAGGCAAGACAACGGGTCAAATAAGTGTCAGCAGCAATTAATAACAGGCCCTAGAAACAATGAAAGTACACCCATGAATGTTCAGACTATGTAGGTTTGTCTTCGTTCTTGAATGTACGATAGTGTTGGAAGCTGGCAGGAAAACGGCGTGTTCAGATATATACTCTTCAAAAAAAAAGAAACTTGACAGATGTAAAACTACTTTTTGCCAAATATCTAAAATATTTACATTAAATGAGAACCAAATAAGTCAAACAGAAAGATGATGTGTCTATAATTCGCGAAAACACATGCAAAGCACATAAACGTAGCATTTGGGGATCAATTTTACAGCTTCATCCAAACGCAACCGCCTGTAAAAAACGTGAAGCACAGGATCCTGCATTTACGCATGCAGGCCCCCCTGCTGAATGGGTATAAAAATCCGTGCAAGGTGGAAAAATGTACTGTTTACTGACGAGTCCCGTTTCCTTCTCACACGTGCTGATGGGCGCGCACGTGTCTACAGACGTCGGGGTGAACGTTACGCCCCCAACTGTGTGCAGCAGGTTGTCCCATTTGGCGGCGGGAGTGTCATGGTATGGGCCGGAATTCATCACGGTGGTAGGACGCCTCTCGTGCATGTGGCAGGTGCATTGACAGTTGTGCGTTACAGAGACTTGATCCTACAGCCTTACGTTCTTCCTCACGTCAACGTTCAAGGCGGACAGTTCCAGCAGGACAACGCTCGACCGCATAGTGCACGTGTTTGTCAGGACTTCTTACAGCACAACAACATCCAGACATTACCTTTGCCAGCCCGGTCACCAGATTTGTCCCCGATTGAGCATCTGTGGGACGAGTTGGATCGACGCGTTCGCAGAAGGAATCCACCGCCCCAAACACTTCCGGCGCTTCTTGATGCACTTCAGCATGAATGGCAGCACATCCAACAGCGTGTTATTGACAACTTGATGGCATCTATGGGTCGTCGGTGTCAAGCGGTGATTGATGCACGTGGTGGACACAACCGATACTGGCATTTTCTGTACCCCTGTGACATTAACTGTATCGTGTACGTGTCTGTCTAGGTGACACGATTAATGTTTTGAACATTGTGTACATTGATCTTCAAACAGTGTTTCAATTATGGTTTCTGTGTGCTATTTTGAAACAACCGCATTATATTACATTTTGAAAGTTAGTGTCAAGTTTCTTTTTTTGAAGAGTATATATCGAATGATCACTCGCCACCAATGACGGTTATTAAAATCTTGTCATGACAGCAGTCGACATTTTACTAGCGCTTCAATTACTTGCTGCTTGTGAATACATGTACAGCAGTTCATCTAGTAGAAGGCTTATCTCCCTCCAACAACCCTGCAACAGATGCACTCCAATCCTCCATCCCTTTTCGCTTATGACAAAACCAGTACTCACTTTAAAGTAAGTCTTCCTCCAGACCTCATCCTGCTCCATATCTCCTGCACTCCTCCTACGTCAATGGTGCCCTGTTTCATTTCATTTAAGATTTGAATACAATTCAAATTAATAAAGGAAACATTCCAGTAAAGCAATATTATGACTTTGGTTGGGTTTGGGGGGCACCCGCGCCTTTAGTGTCACTTGCCAATGCAATAACCATGAACCTATCCCACCACCCTAAACAACATCACAGTAGAATTTTGGATATTGTAGGGATTTATTTGTCATACATCTAACAATGAAAGACTTTGTTGACGACGACGTCCGTATTTCGTGACGTGATGTGACGTTATCCCTTATATGATTCTAGAAATATTTGATGTTATCATTTGCTTCTTGTGAAATTTCTACTTATATGTGAATACTTCTCACCTTTATTGTGACTGCTAGTATCCCAGCACACATTAGGGTGTACTGGAGAACATCTGTCCATATCACCGCTTTCAGGCCACCCTGGGGACGTAATGATTATATTATTATAGATAACAATGTAAGTGAAATGTGTTCGGGATACATGAAACTAGTGAATATGCGATGCTTAAAAACTTCACCAATTCCACGTCACTGCCATTATAAGTAAAGGAACGAGGAAAAGGTGCTAATAAAATGTGACCTGATGGAATAGATCGTTGCTCTTGAAAGTTTTATACTGACGTGACATTGCTTGAAATTGAGTGTCAGATTGAGAGCTCTTTTATAAATGAAAATAGTGCATTTCGAAGTTACATTTCACTAAATCGAAATATATTTATCAATTAAGCAGCATTGCTCAAGTAATAAACAATGAATGACCAATCGGGAAACAACAAATTTGATATTCTGGGGCTGGGGTCCTGAATTGATTGTCAGTCAGAGCTCGAAGACTTACAATGGTTTCCTCGGAAAGAGGATTCAAAATATAAATTCATTTCAGAAACAATAGTTTTAAAATAATCACAAATACACTTTATGATCAGTGACCATGGCCAAAGAATAACTCACAATAGAAGTGTAGAGAACAGCTGCCGCTGACGTCACTAAGATTGATGCCAGTGTGGAGAACCCTGTCACTGGAAGATGTACACAAGATGTAAATTGTCTTGAGTCGTCACAGTTGTGGGAATTGGGATAAGAATATAGCCCCACATCAACCTATGCCGGTCGTAAAAGGTGACTAAATGACTTGGTGATGGTCAGACTTGGTGACATGGTTGCTTGGTACATAACCTGGACTCAATTATGTGCAGACTGCTGTCATATGTATGGAATGTTGCTAAGAGAACAGTTAAACAACTGACAAACAACGTGAGTCTTCAGCCGTAACTTTGCGGTTGTTGCGATGTTGGGTGTGAATTGGGGGTTGGTGTTGCAAAAATAGTTTGCATAGTAGATACAAATTTTCGCCTAACCTCAAAATATATTTTCTTGTAAAAGGAAATAGACTGCTTTATTACCCATTTGGTAAGAAATAACCACCACAAGGGCAAAGATCACTTGAGTATCGTTTATTTCATCCGAGCTTCATTGTTGACATCGTTCGAATCTTGTTGTTTCATAAATTATGGATGATGTCACACTAGAAACAACGTAATAGCTGAAGAGTGTTGACGTCATTCAACAATTGAGTTTTTTTTATGACCGGGGTCATGATCAGTGCATTTTCTAAAGTGGAGTTAAAAAGGATTAAGAAATAATGGGCATTAAAAAAATAATCTTTAAACTTATCCTATCTCACACTATGCATTTCTCTTTCTTCTTTCGATACTTTGTGGAAACAAAGGCTTCCAGCTTCTTAAAAAAACAAATTCACTCGAACACTGATCACTATGGTCATGCTTTTCTTGCCGTTGACCCACACGCGCTGAAGACGTGGTTTCCCCAGCCAACTCATTCTTTTTCTAATCGCCACCTTGTGGTGATGTGTTTATACACCAAGAGGATTCATTTGATTTTTTACTTTTTTGTTCATTTTCCCTCTTTGACTGGGCAGTTTTCATTTCTACTAGTCGTTTTCCATCATAGACGAGCAGTCAACGCACCGTCCTGTGTGGCTGGCTTGCAGACAGGTGTTTTCATCATAGAGTGAGTGAGTGAGTTTGATTTTGCGCCGCTGTTAGCAATATTCCAGCAATATCACGGCGGGGGACACCAGAAATGGGCTTCACACATTGTACCCATGTCGGGAATCAAACCCGGGTCTTCGGCGTGACGAGCGAACGCTTTAACCACTAGGCTACCCGACCGCCCCTTTTCATCATAGACCTGCACTATGTCGTGGGTGTTGCAGAACTTTGGTGCGATGTGCTCAATGCATAAACTTGCCGGATGCATCCTTAGTATTTACATGAGCAATATGGGCTCTAAAGTTTCCGACAAAACGACAAAAAACAAACAAAAAAACTCTGGTAAAAAAGCCAAGAACACCAGTGAGACTATCAGCACATTTGCTGAACGTGGATTCAGCGAACCTCATTGTTCCAATTTTATGGATCGAAGATAATGGCATCTCCGATTGCTTTTTGGACATGTGGAGGACACATCCCGTGTTTTCGCAAGTGGACAAATGACTTGCCTTTGCATCTGCTTGCAATGGGTGCCACCATGGAGCAAGATACCCTGGCCTTTTTGAACATCTGGGGGTATTATAACTAATTGATAGTGATTCATAAACACATGCTCATGGTATAGTCGGAATTGTACAATCGGCTCTGGTTTCTGCAGAGATTTCTATTGGATATGGAAAGGGTTTTGTTGCTTTCTTCACTTAAGGTTCTACTTTAGCTACATCATTGGCTGCGATCAACTACGTAGTCTCTACCACGATGGTCACAAAGATGCAGTCGCATCTAACCTAAACAGTACTCTGGCTGCACTTAAAGAAGGACGTTTCTGAAAATTTGTTATCGTTTTTGCATACCAATACCACCGAGACATCTCTGTGACTGACGTCCAAGGTCTGCATCAATTTGGGCCATTTGTTCTTGCACAAGTCTCAAAGACACATTTATGCAGATAGATTGAGATGTTCACCCTACCAGTTTCGTTATATTACGCTTTCTCTCTAGATATAATAAACCTTGGCATGACTGTTTGAGTTTATCATAATTTGTTTCATGTTTTCCCAGACTGATTATCTGACCGGTGGATGCATTCACCCGTCTGTAGAGATTTCGGTCCTCAGCTGTAAGTCGCCATCTGTGTCCCGATCCCGATTGCCCTCGCTCTCTATTAAAAGGCTATTAGAGATGCATACAAATTGGACCAACTCACGACATCATTGAATATATACTTTCCATCATAGATGGAGATGATTTACTACAGGTAGGTTATGAAATGGTAGGGTTGTGGCCCTTAAATGTAGAAATGTGGTGGTCAGGTGAAACGTGAGTGGTACATGTTGTATGCAGGTCTGATACAAGTGGAGTACAAACTATGTACAGTGTACACACGTGGTAGCGATGGTGATGGTGATGGTGTCAGCACAATAATGGGATGTAGCTTGAGTGTTTATGAGTGCTGTTTGTGTGGCAGGATAGCTAGCGTAGCTGTAGGTGTACAGGTATGGCGTTTAGGCTAGAACGCTTCAACTGTGCACACCTTTGTTGTTTGGTAAATATACAACAAAGGAATTCTTAATCTATGTCGTCCTTTTGTCTTACCGGCCTGCAATGCCATTCCCTGTCCAAACAAGATTACACTCATGTAGAACATCTGGAAAATAAGCAATCACGAGTAAGATTAAATATGTAAGGATATAACAAGACTTGGTTTTGTAAACCCTGAAGTAGGACAGATTGGATAAGCAAAACTCAGAGTGAGGAGTGATTCTCCAACCTGTAAACCTAAAAATTTATTACTACAGAATATTTCATTGCTGTATAATAGCACTAAACCTGTGTTTCACTGGATGGCACCGGCATTATTGCACGTGCATGTATACGCTTAGTCAGAGGCGTAGTCGACCGTTATCTGGAGTAAAATCGAATGTTTTGAAACAATGCAATGATGATAAAAAGTTTGCTTTACTGAAAAGTAAAACATAACAAACAATATGAACTGGTAGTTTTTACCTGTCCACATTTATAAACAAAAATAATTTCTTTAATATGATACATGTGTGATGCAAACATGCTGCGAAGCCTGCACTTCTCTTTATTGGGTGGTCATGAGTCTTGCCAGTTGAGAACATGGAAGAAGCCACACATAAATTTCACTCATATTGACGATGACAGTCGCTCATATCCTCTGAACAAGGAATATTCATGAAAAATGTAATTGCTGGAGGAAGAAAATACCCTCGATTAAAACCGAAAGAAAGTATGATAGTCCTGTGGGAACAAATGCGTTATTGCTATTCACACAAACTAAATGGCACAAAATAATCACAATAGTCAACAATCCCAAAACCAACACAAAATGGTATTGTTAAAATATTTAAGTAGGGACTGCGGAGGATGTACAGTATTCACTGAGATGAAACACGTTACAATTCAAAATAAAGGCCAAGGACTGGAGTCAAGGTAACATTTGTATCACTATTTGGCAAATAGGAAAGCAAAATTTCATCCAATAGAACTCATTGATTAACTGTACACAAACATGTCATGTTGGGGAATGTTAGCCAACTCGTCTTGTTGTGCATGTGCGAGCTGTTGCTCTTGTTGGTTAAGGATTTCTCTGTCGGACGCAGCGATCTGACCCTAAGGTGTTCAAATTTGGCCATTTAGAGGCCCACATAACTACCTGATCAGTGTGGTCCCATAGGAATTCAGTTGTTGCATGTACTGTATACCTCAGCATTGTTCTGTCAAAAGACGACGTGAGCTGAATCAAATAGTGCTCCATTGATGGTTAGGCCATAATCTGCATTATTGATCAGAATGACGTTGTAGATTTCCATGTCTTTGCACCAAAACATTACCTCTGACTTGCGTCTTTGACCTGATTTACGAACGTGGTCTGCAATGCTCTGGGCAACCAATGTCAGTCTGACTTGGATCAGTCATATGGTGTATCGTGCTGTTGCCAACGATACAAAACTCTAGAGATGGTGCTCTAAGACCAATTGAATATACCAGCTTCTGTCCACTGCAATTCTGCTGCTTACAATCGTCCGATGACGTTGTTTCATTGTGCTTGATTTAGTCCTAACAAGAAACCCTCACATATTAGCATTTAGCAGTAATTCGCTAGATGGGTTTATAGGCAGCATTTATCTTACATTCTACCATTTGTTCCCCCTATAAGTAATCCTACTTTTAACAGACAAAATTCAACTTAAACATGTAATCCCCCATTTACTTCCGTGTTTATCAGCAATGGCAATTATGTCACTTCCCTACATTCACATGTCCTACGTCACGTTCTCTGCCCTACGTCACTTCCTTTCACCAAAGCGTCGTACCGTGCTTACTATCACTTTTGGCATTCTCATTTTTATCGCTGACATTCTATCGTTCCTGGCATTGTTTACTAATGTGTTTAACTTCTAATCTGTAACTGTTCGGCTCATCGTTTTAAATTCTTTCTTAAACTTTCTTAAACTCTTGCTCTCCCGCGCACAACTACCATACCTTCCAAGCGTAGAGCGTCTCTCAATCATACGCTTGTCGGAGGCCAGGCCAAGGCGGTTAAGCAGAGGGTAAGGGAGTTTCGCGGTTTTGGTGCCATCCCCTTGACCATGGCTCCTCGCCCAACTACTGTACCGACAAAGGCGCCTTGGTAGTTTCGCAGGAGTGGTGCCATCCCCGCGACTCTTCGCGAAACAACAGCTCCTCCCTCAATAACGGCGCCCCAAAGTCGCCCCACAGCTGTCACCGGGGCAGGGGAACCTCAGGGATCCGGCTCACCTTTGCAATCAATCGTCACTCCCATTGCAGGGGTGACAACAATCAAGGTATGTACCCGTTTAATGAAAACGTTCACCATGTCAACATAATGCCTGAAATGCTTCTCTCACAGGTTAACCAAATACCTATCGCCAACCCCCTCACACAATTCAACCCAGCTTATCAAAATGCCAATTAGCCAATGGTAAACGCACAATCCATTGGTCAAGGGCACCTGGCCACGTTGCCGCAGCCTCAGGCAACCATCACAGCTTCTCAAACTGCTAATCAGCCAATTATGAACGCTTCAACCCATTTAGCCAGTAATCAACAGCTAAATTTCAACGCCAAAAACATTGGGTTTCACGTCAAATAGGCAAATAGGGAAAAAATACCCTGGGGAGAATTCATTGACATGAAAACGCTGTAACTGCTAGATAGACAGCCAATACAGGAAGGATCAAACTTTATCATGGAACTGGATTCATAAGGCCAGGTAACCTTCAAACCCAGGCAACAGCCATCCAAGCCTCTTAATATCGGGTCTTGGAGTTACATCAGCATCGTCATAGAGCGAAGCACACACATCAACAAAATGCAGGAGCTGCTCACCTACGTCGAGACGATCCGCGGCGCTGCTTCACGCTTTTGGGGCGACTGTTGGGCACAATTCAACGTACATTTTCGCCAAAAAATGGAGGGGAACCCTTCCTGGTCAAGGGTGCAATCGATGCGCAGCTATGGCTGCAGCTGATACTACCCAACCAAAGGCAGCACAACATTACACCCTCAAGGTTTTCTAACCAGATAGAGCGCCTGTCAACACCAGCTGAAATTTATAAGAACTTCAGTTGCGAAGGATTGGACAGGGTCAGTCATGCCATTACACGCACAAATGCCTGTCATGCAACATCGGCGGCCATGGACCTTCATCTTGTTTGCGTGGAGAAAAGGCCAAGACAATGTAAGCACCAGCACCAAAGCGACCAGCAAAACTTCCCATCAAAAACACATTGTAAGGCACCAACCCCAATTAATATTTTCGCGGTTAGAACAATGTCTACAACGTTACGAGTTAATAAATCCAGCAGCGGCCTCATTACTAAAACTAGGTTTCAGTCATGGTTGTAGCTTACAGTATCGGGGTCCCCGAGAACCACGCAATGCTTCGAACCTGAACTCCGTTTACTCTCTCCCACAAGTTGTCATATCAAGGAAAAGCTACAAAAAGAAATTGAACTAGAATGCATAGCAGGTCCATTCTTTCACAAACCTTTTCATAACCTTATAGTTTCCCCAATTGGCTCTGTGCCAAAGAAATCTGATGCAACACTGCAAGGGGAGGCTGCCGTCCGCCTCATTCATCATCTTTCTTATCCGTAGGACTCGTCTGTTAATGACTTCATACCAGAGTGCAGAGTACGGTACACTAGTTTCAATCAAGCAGTCTGCATGATACAAAAGCTAGGTAAAGGCGCACACATATCCAAATTTGACATCAAGTCAGCTTTTCGACTTTTACTGGTACCACCAGCAGATTTTCAACTGTTAGGTATGAATTTTCAGAAAAAAAATCTACTTTGACAAATGCCTTCCCTTCCCTTTAGGATCTCACACATAGCATGAACATCGCACACTATCTGGATGATTTTATCTTAGCAGCAGTCAAAGTAGGCACATGCACATATGTCCTCAATACATCGCTTCAACTTCTGCATCAGTTAAGGGTACCCGTTGCACACCATAAAACAGTACCGCTCACAACCTGCCTTACATTCCCCGGCCTGACCATACATGTAGATATGCTGAAGGGTGAAGTCAGGCTACCAAGGGACAAGGTGGTTCAATTGGTCCAGCAACTGTCACAAATACTAGAAGGTTACACTGCATACAGTGCAATCTATAGTAGGTAAGCTAAATTTCGTATGCAGGGGAATCCCCATGGGCCGCCCATTCCTACAGCGTCTCATAGATGCTCAAAAAGGGGCAGGCAAACCTCATCATTTCCACACTTCAGCAGGCATGCAGGACGTCCTCAACCTCTGGCTACAATTCCTTATCAATCACAACGGCACAACATTATTTCTGGAATAGGATCACCACCCCACACCTTCAACTATATACAGATGCAGTGGGCAGCCAAGGCTTCAGAGCATACTTTCAGGGTCACTGGACTAACAGCGGTTAGCCGGAGCAATGGATACAGCAGGGGTGGGTCAAAGACATTACATTATTGGAGCTTTTCTCAATAGCCATAAGAATCTGGGGCCGCAGCTTAGTCAACAAAAGGGTATTAATATTCTGCGACAACCAGCCAGTGGTGAGTATCATCAATAAACACATCACCAAGGGTCAATGGGTCATGAAACTGCTAAGGCAAATGGTACTTTTATGTTTAAAAAACAACATACTCTTTCGAGATTTCAGTGGGCCCAGTTTCGAGCAGCGGCTTCTCAAGCAGACCAGAAGGCAACCCAGATCCTGCCAGACATTTTGCTCGTCTGACTACAGAAGTTAGCAATTTAGTGGCCGGCTCAGTGGCCCCCAATACATGGAGGACTAATGATGCAGTGGTTAAATCGCTACAACTCTTCAGGGCAGTGTACCCCCTGCCCGACATCTGGCTGGTACAGTTAGACCACTTACTCCATTTCATTGCACACCTCTCCTTGTCAGGTAGGTCACCCTGTACAGCACGCTCTTATGTCTCAGCCTTGGCATCAGTGCAGAGGCAAAATTCTTTGCAGGGCATGTGTAACCATTTTCTAGTGCCGAAGGCCATTGCCGGGATGTCCAGGGTCTCTCTACGCGCTGACGCAAGACAACCTATCACAGTGGAATTATTTCGTGCAGCTTCTCCCCACGGTATGTAGCAATTCTTAT